ATCCAGTTGCGCGATATATTGATGATATATACCCGTCTTTTCGCTGCGGAATTTCAAAAGCGTATTGTAGAATATTTTTTCCAGATTGGGCCTTCAAATCCATGTCAGTATGATGCTCCGAAGGTTGTTTCAGACGACATTATCTTACTCGGTGCACAGCAGTCTCTCAGTCAAAGTATCTTCCCCGAAATCACACAAGATTTGGACATCCTTGAATATCTCTGGGTCAATTTCGGGAAACGAGGCAATTGCTTTCCCATGATCTTCTACGGATAGAGAGGGAACGGTTTCGCAATGTGGTTCGGCCGCAAGGTTTGCAGGGTGTTCGTACTTGGTTAGTAAAGGGTGCAACAAGATGTCTGGTATAGAGATCCGATTCTCCGGGCTCTTTTGAAGCATTTGTCGGACTAGGCAGGCTGATTCCTCACTCATCTCTGCGGGTATTGTGAAGTCTCCCTTGACAATCAGTGATAATGTATTCCTCAAGCCACCGCCGTCAAACGGCAAATAGCCTGTCAGAAGCGCAAACAAGATGACGCCACAGCTCCAAATGTCCACTTTGTCGCCATGGTACTTTTGAAAAGAAGCAAGCTCTGGGGCAGCGTAGTACGGACTTCCACAGTGTTTGGTAAGCCAATGACCTTCGGATTGATAGGCGGCCATTCCGTAATCAGCAATTTTGACGTTGTGATCGGAGTCGAGCAGGATATTCTCAAGTTTCAAATCTCGGTGACAGATATGGAAGCAATGACCATATCTCACCCCCAGAATAATCTGGCGGAATATTGAAACCACTTCCTTCTCCGGCAATGCTCCATGAGTTGAGATATAATCGAAGAGCTCGCCACCTTCAGCATATTCACAAACGAGGTGCCTGTCTGCATCAGCATATTTTCAAGTGTTCATGGATAGAACGTACACTTCTTTGGCGTTTTCGGAAACACTTTCCAGCCTCATCACATTTGGGTGCCGTAACAGCTTCAAGATTGCGATCTCGCGTTGAATACTACGTTCTCTCTGGTCTTGAACGTGACTACTACCGATGAGGCCCGTCACGGTTTGGTCGGGAGCTTCGGGAAGCTGTCTTCCTTGCTTTCCAACTGGCGATTTGGGAATTATTTTGATGGCCGCTGTCTTTCCAGTTGCACCATGCGTGGCCAGTCTGACACGAGCAGCCGAGCCTTTGCCCAAAGTGTGCCCAATTTGCCAGTGTATACTTTTGTCTGTGGACTCTCCGAGTTGTGAAGGGATCTCGTCCATACTGAGCTTCCAAGCACCACGCAGTAAATGTAAATTTGGACCAGTTCCGTGGAGGGCCTTGTCTCGTTAGATGTTGCGAGCCTTAGCCTTCTCGACCAAGCTTCCCGAGGTCGTTTTCACCAGCGAGTCACCTGCCAAAGACCACAGCTTTGTGTTGGATCTGATATCGTATGTTGCACGCGGAGTGTTAAAGTCAAACGACGCCTGTGTTGATTCAAGCGTAAGGTATCTCGCAGTAGCAGGAGGACTTCATCTTGCATGTTCAAAGCGTGATAGCTCACAAGACATCGACGTGGCGGAGCTTGACTTGCTAACACGTGCGTGTATCGTGCAGGACTGGCTGCTCAGCCAATGTTGTGGAGATCTCTCCCGCTTCCCCCTCTTTTCCTGCTCCGACGCGTTTGGTTAGTGTATAGTATTGTGAAAAGACTGATGGAATTTCAGACACAGGCTGGAAGAGACGATCAATTCTTGTCTTTGGGAGAGAGAGAGAGAGATAGAGAGAGAAAGAAAGAAAGAAGAAGGAGCACATCCATGGATGGACAGGGGACAAGGTCACCTGACCGGGCGTCGCCCCCGGCCTTGGGGTAGCTCCCGAGGTCGCCTATGGGGCACCCGGGGGCATGGGCTCCAGGGTCTTCACCCCGAATCGCCCTCGGAGCCCCGAGTCAACTCCCCCCTGCGGAGAGGAAAATGTTTCTACAGTAATTTCAAAAAGCTTTCGCATGAGAGTCCGGTCACTGTAATACATCTTTGAGAGATTCCAACCATTTCTATCAAATGAATTCACCCATTATATCCTCTGCTTCATGTACAATCTTCCGAGAATCTAAGCCAATCTCTTCATATTGTGCCATGAAGCCGAACCGATTCTTCCACAACTGCCATCGCTCCGCCGTAAACCCAGGACTTCCTTCCCACAGGTCTGATTTGCTTGGAAGAGCTTTTTGGATAAACTCAGGACTGTCAGGTCGATCGTCCTCCCACATGTATTTCCCAGCATAAATGATCCACTGTGCAGCAGCACATACATCGGCTGCCAGTAATCCAGATACCTCCATTTTGTACCACGGTGACTGCCTCTGGACCCCGGACTGTGCCAGCCGTGTCTCTTCCATATACTTGACTGGGTCCGTCTCTAGACATCTCTTCAACAAGGCCAAGCCCAGGGAGCGAAGCTTTGAGCCTCGAGTGAAAGAAGTTGTTGCCAGCATTTTAGCCGAAAATGCATTCATGTTGATCCATCTTGTGGTTGACTTGGAAGCAGACTTTGTCCATCCGGACAACGCATGAGGCGAGAATATGTCCCACTTATCCCGCCATGTGCTGCCGAAGCAGTCTAACAAATTATGTGGGATGTCTTTCGATTCTGAGTGGGGTTGCGAATTCAATTTCTCGAGCTCAGTCAAGAGGGCCAGTAATGAGGCGTGACTTGATGGAAATTCGGCGGCGGCCTCATAAACCAGTCCCCAGAGGGCCCATGGTGTATCGTCATCGAGAAAATCGAGCTGGCTTAGTTCCTTGGCTGTGGTGGCTGGATAAATGGTGTTTGATAACAGGCGCTTCAGGACCTCTGCATGGGGGCGCGCAGCTCGGTACTCAGGGTCTTCAGTTGACTGGAGCCAGGATTGATAATCGCTTGACATGATGAAGCTGATGCAGGTTCAATAATTGAAACTGATTGACGCGACTTAAATAAAGAAAGATGCTGGTGCTGATCCCTGATATGAAACGTGTTAAAATGATCGGCTGGTGTTTGTCTCTTTACCCCTCTTGACATCACCAGACTAGCGATGCTTTTAACCCCTTTGGTCATAGCGGAATATCAGAAATGATAAGAGAAGTGTAGTATCGCAGTAAAAGAACTGATTTTTTGGCCTCTTAAAAATGGAGAGAGAAAGGGCGACGTCCATCTCGACTTCGAAATGGTCCACGGGTTGTAGTGCGCAAGAGCACCTGAACGTCCACAGCATGGTCTATTGAGACGATAGATATAGAATCAATGTTAAGATGATCTTCTCAATTCCAATATGATTCCTGTCCATTTCTTGAACAGTATTGCCACAGCCTTAACCATGTAAAAACGTAAATTCGGCTTCTCGTCCTATCATGCCTGTCCTGAGTAGTACTACTTGACCAATTGCAGAGAACATTCGATTTCACTCGAGTATAGCTTATGTGCTGTCCAATGTTAAAACTTCCAAGGTTGAGATGTAAAACAATAAATATCTCGAGTCCCATGCATGATCAAGAACTCAGTGTCCAACTTGGAAGAACCATACTCATTTGACAGTGAACTTCTCACTATATCCGATAGGCCCTGTACCCCAGCTAGTCCACGCAACTAACCAGTAATCACTGGGAACATTATTAGTATACTCTAGACAAAAAATAGATCAAGATCAAAATTGCCCTCACCCTGGCTTGAGACGCAGATCTTTTGGTAGCTTGACGGTAGCTTTCTCCGGCTCAGCATCGACGAGCTCGATCCATTCGAACTCTTTGAAGTCCTGAGTAACAGTAAGACCGATCTGGGGCGTGTCAAGTCTCCATGTCACATCCCAAGTCCGCCGTGATTTGATTTTGGGTGTATCGAGGGTTACCGCAATCACTGCAGGTACGAGAGCGAGGATAGAGAATAGGGGGAAGTGCATGTTGTCAAAGCTGTCTCGATTCAGTGACCTCGGGATGTTCCAAGGTCGATGTTGAAGTGTTAGTAGGGCAGGGTGAGAGCCGGCTTTTATAGCAAATCTTCGATGGAGAATAAGCAGAGCTTCCTTGCAAAGAACATATTCAACAAGCCATCGCGGGGTAAAATTCCATCCAAGGGTCTCAGCGTGTTTTGATCCGGACTCTGATGCACAAAACAATCAATCTTAGCGAGTCTGCATGCCTAGTCTGCATTGTCATCAGCACCGGCGCCATCCATCTTACGATCACGATAATGATTGAGCATAATATACAGAAACATTTTGACCCATCATAATTTCGCGGGATGTCGACTTGTGAGAATCTACAACGCTTAGTGATTAAGTCTCTCTGCGCGCGGTGAGAAGGTGTACATTCCACTATCGAAATTTACTATGAAAATGCAAAATCTTGGAAATCTTGGAAGGCAGAGGTCACACACCTTCCCACATGAAAATTCTCCATCCACCGAATTTATATTGTTGGAAAAGAAATATCCTTCGCCTGACGTGAACCCTTGTTTTGAGGTCTTACCTGCCAACCCAATATATGGGGATACATGTACTGCAGGGACTAAGCCACCGTTGCGCCACCGGAACGTGATGTGACGAGAAAGCCTCTCACTACTTCAAACAGTGACAGGAAGTTTAATCGATTGGACAGTGCATCTCAGGTCTTAGATATACGAGGCCAAGGCCGGATGGCGTCTTTGAAATGCGGAGTCTCGAACTTGTGGATTTCTGAATACTACATGGTACTTTTAGCTGATTTATCTTCAAGTACGAAACTTTCCTGGAAGTTTAGGTCTTTTACCAGCAGCTCGACGGTTATGTCTATGCGATCGAAGGTTTATTCCTAGCTTGTTTCTTGGGGTCGAGGTTCGCTCTCAACATGAATCATATTCTCATTCTTGCCAGTATTGACTACTGGGCCTCGGGAGAAGGGGTCAGAGAATCTAGTCAGCAACCTGGTAATGATGCATATCCCAGGCCACAGTTTGAACGAATATCCCCTCTCAACAGATAGTTTTGGCGTGCCAGTTATGTGTCAAATCATCGAGAGCCATTGACCACCTTCTGAGACATGGTCACCGCAACTTTCAAGGTACCATGCTTGGAGGGTGCTTCGAATGCTTCGTACGCGCCATAGATATCATCGAATGAAAAGTCTAAGAAGCAGTTAGTATCGCCAAGAGCAGGAATGCGTGACACGCACTATGGGAGATCAGGAATCGCGGATCTATAGCGTCGTCATGGACCATTTTGAGGATATCTGGAGTACTGGTAGCATCAACGAGTCGCGTCCGCAAGCCTGTCGCGAAGTGATTAGCAATGACCAGAGCCCCAGGAGAGTTGTCAGAAGCGTACATATATTGCGATTCCAAAGCTTCTCCAAGTGCAACTCGCATGACTCGCCGAAGACACCCAAACTGGCAATAGTTCCGCCAGCACCCACCAGTGCTTGTGCAGTGCTGAAAGACTCGGGTGTTCCCACTGCCTCAATAACCACATCGAAGCCTCGCCCCTTCGTCGCAGACCGAGCTGCAGTAATTGCAGCTTCCTCTCCGCCAAGAACACTGAAGGTTTGGTCGGCACCCATCGACTTGGCTGTTTCGATTCTACCCTGGCTTCTGCCTATCACCGCCGTCAACGACGGACTGAACAGCTTTCTCGCCATTTGTAGGATCATCAAGCCTATCGGACCGGTTCCTATGATTGCCACGGTAGAGCCTGGCTTGATGTCACCATTCAGAATTCCACACTCATACGAGGTCGGGACGGTATCAGATAGAGTGACAGCCACTTTCTGGTCGATGCTCTCTGGTAGCAGATGCAGCGAGAATGCGGCGTGAGGAACACGCACGTACTCGGCCTGGGTCCCATCGATCTCGTTTCCAAGTATCCAGCCACCGGTTTCACATTGGGATGACATCTTTCTCTGGCAATAATGGCAGTTCCCACAGCTGGTGATGCAAGAGATAACTACCACTTGGCCAACATTGAAGTTCGTGACATCAGCACCCAGGGATTCGATAACGCCAACTCCTTCGTGGCCCAAGATTCGACCGGGGGTACATGACGGGACGTGGCCTTGGAGAATGTGCAAGTCAGTTCCGCAGATGGTGGTGTGAAGGACCCTGATGATGGCATCAGTTGGTTGTAAAATAACTGGCTTCGGTTGATCCTCGACCGAAATCTTGTTTTCGCCAGTATAGATGACAGCTTTCATCTTTGTTGCTATGAAACTCGGGTTGCCGAGGCGGTGTTCCGGAAAAGAGCAGAGACTTCGAAAGGGGGACCATGAAGACGGGGAATTGGTTCTTTAGACTCCATCTTTATACTCGACACGGAGCCCTGCTGCTTGCATGCGCGGCGAGCAAGGATCAGAAGATAAATTGGTCTGAAGGCATCCGAAGACGGCGAGAAGACACAGGCTAGTCACAGTCGTCTAGGAGCGCCATGACTGAGTAAAAGAAGCGATGAACTGCTGTGGTGTGTAGAAAGCAATCAAACTCGGATTGGTCTTGATCTGGTGGAGGGAGAAGATCCACGCATGCAGGCGGCTTGATTTGGACAGGACATCTTTGCCGATGGAGTTCTATGGACCACGTTTCAGCTGTGTTTGCTCGCACCTCACTGTTACCCCTCTATTGGGATTGCATTAACAAACAGGGGCACGAAACTAGCTCTGCATCTCGATTGATAGTTCGCATCGGGGACGCCGATACCTTCATCACTTTGAGCAACGTTCCTGACACTCAAAACCAGCGAGGCAAGAAACGACTAAATAGAAAGGGTCAGTGATACAAAACTCATTCATCTAGCGCAGAACGATCTCATGTTGCTAGCGACGATCCACACACAACTGAAATACCACGCAAGCCCCGGCTGTGCCACACATTGGTCTCAGTACATCATTAGCGTCGCTGTTGAGACAGCGTGGGGCGACTTCGGTCTTGACTTTTTGCATCGGTTATCTTCTGCCAAGCCTGCACGATAATGCCAATCATCGGCGGCATTCTTCAGGATTCCTCGCCACCCCGGTGCTGTAGAACGCTCCTCCATGATAATGGCGATTCTTACCCATTCCGAAACGAGATGATCATCAAATCAAAGTAATCATTGCCAAGGTGTGCTACGAACTATACAGTAGATCATATATCATACAATATGCACGGCCAAAACTCCATCCCAAGCCAATAGAGGCCGGCTCTATCTAATGGCACAACACAATCCACTCCGCAACAATTCCTTCCATGTCATGCGCAATACCCCACTGCGATGACAAGCACCGGAAAAGCTTCTGTATGGAGTTCAACTCGTACAGCAAATTCCTCATCGCTCCGCGCAGCGGAACAGACCGAGGATCCTTCCCTTCGACAAACCTCCCCGTCTCAGATCCCCTCGGCGACTTCAGATCGTCATGCCCCAGGTTTAGGTCTGAGTATGAAAGCAGCGCCTCCTGCCAAGTGATGTTTCTCGGTAGGCTCACGGTCGCGACGCCAGCAAGCGAGAAGACGACATAGATGGTCGCCGCAGCAAAAAGCGAGCTGGGCATGTGAACCACGTGCGCGCGGCCGCGTGGTAACTGCTCAACAATATCCTGGATCGCGACGGCGTGTAGGACGGCACGACGCGCATCCTCCGAGTTAACCCACTTGAGTAGGTCGAAGCCTGGTGAGACGGTTCGGCTGCCGCCTGAGACATGTTGTGGAATATTGGAACGGGAGCAGATGTGGCGTGAGAGGACGGTGGAGTTGACCATCGTGTCGAGACAGATCGTGTGCCATCGAAGGAGAATCTCAAGTCTTTCTGCGGCGGTGAAGTGGATGCTCATTGTGATGGTTTCATGGACCTGGGCTAGAGCCCGGCGGACGTCCGATTGACCAGGGACGCCGACAGCGAGATCGTTGTCATCGCAATCTGAAATCAGAGATTGAAGACCTTCAAGGACGACCCGAAGCCCGAAGGCGGAAAATTGGTGGTCGAGCGGGCGGAAATTGCCGACTGGTGGGAATAGGGAACGGAAGATAACGCGGAAAGAGGACTGGTCACGTTCGTGGGGATGCATGTGAGTGAGCCATTCGTCAGCGGTGGCAGCGTCAAAGGCCTCTTCGCTGCTTGGAAGAAAAAGTGGATTGGCGACGTGTCTCGCAGAGGCGGCATCTCCGGACATTTGAGCCACAAGACCGTCTAGCACATAATATGCCAAAAGGGCACGTTGCTGGATCTCGCGAGCTGACCAGATGCGCCATTGGTGTTCTTTCTCTGCGGCGGGGGCATTCATTGACGGGAGGTTATCCATGGAGTACGACTCGCTGTCGTACATGCCACAATGTCGAGCCCAGAAAAATCCCAGCGGACGAAACACCTGGCTAGTGGTTCGCACTGCCCGATTCTTGGATAGTGCTCCATATATCTGGCCTAGTAAGGCTGTGAGCATCAGCTGGACGCCTTTGCAGGCATCATATGGACCGCTGTGGGTGATGAGAGATTGCCAAGAGGTCGCGACTGCTGTGTGTGCCAACCGCCACAACGCCTCGCCTTTGGCAACCGAGTCTTTGGGTCCCAAATATAACGAACCGATTGCAATAGCATTGAGGAGTAGTGCGTGCGTGCACTCTTTGAAAACGAAGGTTGCTCGGTGCAAGATTGGAAATGTGGGTATGAACCGAATGAAGAACATGTGGAGACATTCATCGAGAAAGACCGACGTGATGGACGTGGCATTGACGGCAGCAGTAACACTGGAAGACTTCAATGTTCTGATGTTAGCAAATGGCCTCAGCGGAAATTGCAATATGGATGTCGATTTCCGAGAGCGGATTCTTGCTGGCCTTGATTCATACACCATGACGTGTTGTGGATTTCAAAACTTGACTCACCGAGCTTGTGACCATCTCTGTGACATCCTGCACCGCTTGATATCCACCGCCCATGGGTAAAGCCCCAATTGAGGAGGTCCGATCATCAAACGAAGTCGGTGAACCAAATGCCAGGCTATTCACGTCTTGTACAACAGGTGGGAAGGGCAAAGTCCCAAGGGGCATCTGCCACTGATCTGTTGTATCAGATGACATCAAACTCTGAAGCAAATTTTCAGAATCTGGCCAGATCAAGGTGAAATCCAGCTCCGAGGCCACATGCATGCTAGCATCACTGGGAGCCTCATCCCAGGACTGACTCGTCGCCGAGGTAGATTGATCAAACGGCGAGGTACTATTCGTGTCCCATGAGGCAGCTGAATCAACCGAAGGCTGAGGCACAACATTTGCATCCGGTTTTGCATTCATGGCACGAACATGCAGCTTCTCGTGGCGAGTAAGTGCATCTTGGCGTGCGAAGGGCCGTCGACACTCTTTGCAGACGTAGGGTTTGGATCCCGTATCTGCATCTTCTGGTTAGCTTGGGAGTCTTCTCGGAGCAGGCTTGATAGCATCGAATACAATCGGATACGTAGGAACATACGGCATCGCTCATGTCTCTGCAAGCTATTAGTACATGTGGTAGCTTCTCATGTTCCTTGGCATTCATTGTGGGGAAGCCGAGTACTATGAAGCACCCGTTGCCCAGGTGGGAGAATAGACTTGACGAGGTTACTGACCCTCAGGTGTTCAGCCTTGGAGAATCCTTTCTGGCATACTCGGCATATCAGCTTCTTTTCCGTTGCTGTGATCTCTTCCATTTCCGAGATATGTGAAGATGGAAGAACAGGACGCTGTGATTGTGGGGAAGGAAATGTGGGGTGTGGCACTGCTTATGCGAGCACGGGTTTATATTTTGCAACGTCCGCGTATTTACACTCTAGAAATAGAACTGCCAGTCCAATTGAACAGGTTTCATTCAACATCAATAGTTCATTTATGCACCCTGTACGGAGTAGTCTTGGAGATCTGCGCGTAACTACGAATCGAGGAGTAAAATGGTGGACTTACCAGAGGCCAGCGGAGAAGCCGAGCCGGGTCGTGGTAATACTACGGCAGCGTGGCGATAATGTCCCTTGCCGAGTTTAGTACACCCATTGTGCTCGGACCCAATCAGTTTCAGACATTGCGCGGCTTGCAGAGGCTGGACAAATACCGCGGTGAGTAATTCCAGCTACCCCAGAGAAACATCGAGAGGAACGGTGGGCAAGATATGGAGACGAGAACCCCAGAGAGATTGCGCCAAGACGTCAAAACGGAGTAGGTTTCGGTACTTGGCTCGGGCTGGAAGCCGCGCCTCATAGTGAAGGAGGCCATCGGCTAGCCGTGCTCAAGTGCCAGAGCCCAACCAACTCCATAACATTTCATTAGCGGGGATCTGATTCGCCTCCTCGGCCTTTCATCAAGCGAGTCTCCGCAATGTCATTCCCCACGAAAAGGCCCACGGAGCCGACAATCCCGGAGAATACCCCAGGTGAAGTATGTCCGAGTGCCGTGGGCTTAGCGGCTGGGCTATGCGCACTCACTTCGGGATTTTCGCTCCCTCATGGCTCGGGTTGGACAACCCCCAAGTCATTCTTCTTTCTCTGTCTGTTCACCTTTTTGCATTATTGACTTCCGTAACCCCTCAAGATACACGGGTCTGGTCAATTTGGCAACATCATCAACCCCCAAGCCGCGTTTGACCCCTTGTTTCAGAAAAGGTGTTGAAGCACTTGTATCAATCCTTCACCTTTCTGCATCATTAGCATGACATCCCTGGAGTTGCAACGGACTTCATCTCTTCGGGGTGAAGCCGAAGCATCAGGCACCAAAGCCGACATTGATCTCATCGAGAGTGCCGGGCATGGACGAGCAGCCACCTACCAGGAGTCGGTGGCGGCTCGCCTGCCAAAAGCCCATCGAGACTATTTGATGGAGCGACATGGTACCTTGGAGCTCGATCCCATCCCCGGCATGGGCCCGACTGATCCTTACAATTGGCCTGAATGGAAAGTGAGTTTGCTTCCCGAGGCTTGCAAGCCTGCAAATCCAATGCAGACACAACACAAAAAATCCCTCGGCAGAAGACTAATGTATCAGTTGTGTAGAAAATGATGAACCTTATCCTTGTGGCGTTCCACGCCTGCATGGGAACATTTACCGCCGCTGCCATCATTCCTGCCTATTCAGACATCGCCAAGGATCTCAGCGTCAGTATCCAAGATGCCAGTTACTTGACTTCGTTGCAAATCGCCATTCTGGGAGGCGCCCCTCTGTTCTGGAAGCCCCTTTCCAACCGGTATGGGCGCCGGCCAATCTTTCTTCTTTCTCTCATTTGCAGCCTGGTCTGTAACATCGGCTGTGCCAAGAGCACGGATTATGCGTCTCTTGCTGCATGTCGTGCCCTTGTTGCGTTCTTCATCTCCCCTGCCTCTGCCATCGGTAGTGCCGTTGTGATGGAAACCACCTTCAAGAAAGACCGCGCCCGTTACATGGGTGTTTGGACTCTGATGATCACTCTGGGTGTTCCGATCGGTCCGTTCATCTTCGGTTTCGTCTGCTACCGTGCGGGCTATAACTGGATCTACTGGATCCTCGCTATGGTAAGTGTTCACCCGTGTGGGACCCTGCTGCTCATTAGCTAACAAGCAAGTAGATCAACGGCGGTCAGTTCATTCTGTACCTGTTCTTTGGCCCCGAAACCCGCTACCTTGGTAGCGGCGTGGACAGCATGTCCGCTCGCAAGATCGAGTACATGTCCCTGCGACGAATCGATCCCACACCATTCACCTGGTATGAGTTCATTCGTCCACTTACAATGGCCCGCCACCCCTCGATCCTGATCCCAGCCTGCGCATATGCAATGGTCTTCCTGTTCGGCAGCATTCTGGCAACCGTCGAAGTGCCGCAGCTGCTCGAGAAGAAGTTCGAGTTGAACGCCGAGCAACTGGGCCTCCAGTTCCTGGGTGTGATCATCGGCTCCGTGATTGGCGAACAAATGGGCGGCGTGCTGTCCGATTTCTGGATGAGCCGTCGATCCCGCCGTATTGACCGCAAGGCTGAGCCCGAGTTCCGTCTCTGGCTCAGTTATTTCGGCTTCGCGCTGACCATCATTGGTATGATTGTGTTCTTGGTCTGCACGGAGACATCGCCGAGCGGACACTGGAACGTCACGCCCATCATTGGCACTGCCATTGGCGCTGTGGGAAACCAGCTTGTCACCACCGTGATGATCACCTATGCGGTTGACTGCTTCCCGCAGGAGGCAGCCAGCATTGGTGTGTTCGTCACTTTTGTGCGACAGATCTGGGGCTTCCTTGGTCCCTTCTGGTATGTGCTTTCCTCCCATGCTGTCAACATCATCGCTAATAAATCAGGTTCTCGGCCATGTTCGAAAATGTCGGTATCGCTCCGAGTGCGGGCATTGGCTCGGCGCTGGTCGTCGCCGTCAGTGTTATCCCCACCATCTTGCTGCACTGGAAGGGTCGTGTTTGGCGCAAGGAGGAGTAGGTGGATATAAGTCATAAGGCCATTCCTTCGAAGCTTCCAGTCCACACAATTTGCGGATTTCGTTCCAGTTTTAGATTATCAGCGAATCGATCGGGTTCGTGTTCGGGTTCGGGTTTAGAGGAAGCTCGGCATCGGGCACAGCACGGCGTTTCGAGATTGTATATAGATTAAGACAAAGGATGTCCTAGACAAACACCCACAGAGTCAGCCCTAGTAGAATTCATCGTAACAAGACAGAAGAGACTGGGTAGATGGAGGTCTCTGAAGATCATACCAAAGCTTGTGTAGATATGTGTACCTAGGTACATAGGTAGGTTGAAAGGTAGGTGAGCTTTAGACCCGCACATTGTGCCCGCGGCAAAATGGCACTGGCGCAGGCAAAGGCGACAGTAGACAGCTTTAAGGCACAATAGCAGTAAGTAAATCAAATCATCGTTGCGAAGAAATCAGCAGAATCGCTTTTCTTTTACAAAAAAAAATTCCGAGTGGGCTCGGTAGCCCGACCCGATAATATCCCGTAGCGCTTAAATCGAACCATCGCGGGCCACGAAGGGCCCACGAAAGGCCTAGTGAGTCCTCCGGGTGGTCAGATCGGCTTGCCCTGGATAAACATTTCGAGGTAGTCTACCCATACTAATGGGGTAACTGTTTGCTACCTAGGTAGTATTCTGCTATGCACGAATGACCATAATTTGCCCCATTTTGGGCATTTTGAACAAATTTTTGCGACGCATACCTTTCTTCGATCCGACAAATTAGATATATATGTACTCTCTCCATGCTCTGGCAACCTTGCTGTGAGTTTGACACCAAGAGATATCCGGAGAAGAAGGCGGAACAGACTTACTCCGCCGTGGAAGAAGTCATATCCCTATGAGCTCTCTGATTGGTCGAAGCTTCGTAGAACCGCCATAGAGTGTGGCCTAATGGCCGAGTGACAGTTCGGAGATATCTCTTTTTCTTCAAGGCTACCCTAAGTAGATGTAGACCTCCGATGGATAATCGATGTCCGATGGCGGAGATGATCTTGCTTTAAGCCGTGAGTGTGGGTGTTTTTCCGGGTAGCTGAGGCCTGAGGGGCATACAAAGTCCAGTGATTCAACTTTACTCGGAATTTCTACTAGTACTAGAGACGACCTCGGGATCCCTAGGTAGCTTGCAAGTTCACAGTCTTAGGAGTAAAGGTGTATATTGCTCTGTAAGGCGATCTGCCTATCAATCTTATGCGTATTCCATAAGGTAAATATAACATGTGAACTCATATATGTCATTTATAAACTGTCTATTGGTGCTCAATCTTGTTGATAAGAGTACCGATGTGAGGAAGAAGCTCAACGGCGAACTCATCGCCAGCCTTGATGAATTCCTTGGGGTTCTTAGCGGCGCCAACACCAGGAGGAGTACCGGTCAAGATGATAGTACCAGCGGGCAGAGTGGTGCCCTGAGAAAGGAAGCTGATCAACTGGGGGACACTGAAGATCAAATCACTGCAGAAGATGTCAAGTTAGCGTCGTCTTTTCGGTCCCTTCTGAGTCGTAATAGAAACCCGGTAGAAAGACTTACGTCAGGGGGCAGTCCTGCATCACACGGCCGCTCTTGAGACCACGGATCTGCAGTTTGCTGACATCGGGGATCAAAGCAGCGGAGGCGAGAACGGGGCCTGAATAGCTCCGGTTAGTCAAGTTGCTTGAATTATGGAAAGCACAATAACGCACCGATCGGGCATGCGCCGTCGAAGCCCTTGGAGAAAGACCACTGGCTCTGGTTCATCTGAGAAGTACGACTTGACACATCGTTGGCCGCAGTGTAACCGAGGACATAATCTAGAGCCTCGGACTCGGAAACGTCCTTGGCATCGCGGCCGATGACAATGACCATCTCGGATTCATAATCGCCGGTATTATCCTGCTGTGTGATTTTGGGGAGAACAGTTGGCGCAGGCCAGGGGTCTGCTAGAGAGCTAGACGGCTTCATGAATAGGGTCGGCACATCCGGGATTGGAAGGGACATCTCCTTGGCATGAGAGGCATACTGCTACTCTCAGTAAAGTGGTTCAATCTTGCGTCTCTGTGTCACTCACGTTCAATCCAATGCAACGAATAGTTCCAATTTCAGATTGCGCCAGAGGGGAAAGAATGCGGGAGATGGTCTCAGTCGCGTCGGTGACTTGGCCAGGGTTCAGAACGGAAGTTCCTGAGAAAGGGCGCACTGCAACATCCTGGCCTTGGTAGAGTGCCAGTCCTACATCCAGCTTAGGGTCGACTGGCTCTCCAATCAAAACCTTGGAGGGGTTGGACTTGGGGACGAAGCGCACCAGGCCTATTTTCTTCAATTAGCACTCAGAGTAGATTCTCCCGTTTCAAAACTCTTACGCGAAAAGGTAGATGCGATCTTAGACATGTCGATAGTGTTGAGTGAAAGAGAGAGCGCGGAGTTGGATATTTAGAGCTCGCAACGATGACCGATAGCGGAGTAAATCTACCCCGAGGGATAAGCCGGAGGGGCAGTCGACCTCCCACAATTGTGGGGAAGTCTGGTGGCGACGCGATTAAAGACGACAGGATCCCCCTCGCGAATTGCGCGATTCTCAATTTTCTCAACATCTTCAAAATGTCTGCCAAGGGTCCCTTCCACCTCGTTACCGTCAACACCGCGCCGGAGCGCGCCAAGCGCCTCATCGGTCGCGTCGCCGAGGCCCTGAAGGACCAGTACACTATCATTCACGTCGACAACTGCGAGAGTAAGGACATCCTCCCCGAAGGACATAAGAACCAACTGACAGTAACAGAGATCGACGAGGTTGAGGCTAAGGTCAAGCAGCACAACCCCGAGGTTCTGGTAAGTCGGGCTCGGCAATTCCGAGCACCGCCGAGACTGACAGTGATATAGTTCAGCGCGTCCATGTGGACCGCCGAGGAGGCCCAGCAGATCCACGCAATTGCTCGCTCTGTTCGTCCGGACATCAAGCTCCATGCCATCCCTGAGGGCTTGCAGGTTGAGCGGGGCCCAGATGCCATTGTCGAATACTTGTGTGAGAAGGTTCCTGTGCTGCTGGACAGCTAGGTTCCAAGGTTGTAATATTGGAACAGTCATATACATAAGAAAAATCGCAATCCTCGACAGCTAGACTCTTATGGCCAGGTCCAGGGCTCACGCTTTGTATGTACACGTATATTCGTATCTTGGCTCTCTAGCTCAATTTCTCTATCTTGTATCATCCCCCGAACGGACCCGTGGACACGACCTCACCACTCGAACTCCTAATCGCAATAAATTGTTAGCCATTGCACCAACCGGACTCGACCTCCCAGAATTGGAATTCCATATGACTCACTTCAGTATGGAAACTGATGGACGGTCCACTGTCGTAGATGCTGCGAGACAGCGCTTTTCTTGTGATGTTTAGCATATTTGCCGGTCCACATGCACCTACTCCTATATGTGATTCCGCAGCGCAAGGCTCAATGAGACTAGCAATATGGGCTTCGAGATCCGGTCGCCCTTTGCGGATACCTTGAAGATCATCTTTTGTCGAAGCTTCGTTGATGGAGAATCCTTTTTCGGGGTCCGGAACGCTTGACTCGGAGGATGAACCATCCGCCGCATGCAGACTTTCAACCTCTATCGACTTTTCAAGGTCTCCTTGGGTCACGTATATGTGCAAGTTGACCTTTCCGCTTTCACGGAGCTCCTGGAGCTCCTTCCCAAACCACTCTAGCGAGGCTTTGAGGATGTGAGCTTAGTTCAGACAATGACTGGTTATTCAACTCACCTTGAGACTTGACTGCCCACACAAAGTCAATACGTTTTGAAGTCTCGTTGCATGATAATTGCTTGATGAGATCAAGAGCAATGGAAAAGGTGAAGCTGGCTCCACTTCCACCAGCTACAAGAACAACACTGTCGAAGTCCATGAAACTCGGGATCTGGCCATATGCACCATCCAAAGAGCACCGCAACTTCTTTCCAGGCTGCCTCTGAGCAGCTTTAAGCAGATCCGATGTGAAGCCATCATAAGGGCGAATGAGAAACTCAGCTGGCTCATTGCAGACCAATGTGAATGGATGAGTCTCGAAGAGTCGAAGGGATGGTATCCACAAGAAGGCATGAGACCCAGGCTTACACTTCAAATCGCGGCTGAGCTTCACCCTGACTGCTCCGTCAGACATTGGGGTAATACTGGCATAGTTGCCGTAAAAGTTCCAACAGATCTTTGCGAGACGGAACAGCCGATCCAAACTCCATGCGCATGCGATGAATATGATAATAGTGACACTTTTCGTCGAGATCTTGGGACGGTGAAGGGCGACCATGATAATGATCAAAATGAACAAAGCCAAGTGTATGAAATAGAATACTGATTGGCCATGGATCAGCTCGTTCTTGCATTTGAAAATAATGACTTACCTTCATATGATCGACGGACAAACCAGGTAAAGGTGGAAGCCCCAATGACCACCATTGCTAGTCCTGCAATTCCCCCAGCCAGATACTCCAGCTCTCGGAATTTGTGAAGGTGCCCGGCTTGGGACCAGGCTGTCGCATATGTGATCCCATGTATAAGACTGGTGACAATGCATGTGTGGCCAGCGGTTTTATGCAGTGGGCGAAGCTTTTCGTACGATGATCCAGATAGTGGGGCTAGAGGCGTGTTTCGAAGAGCGAGAAAGACCAAAAGGACGAAATTTGCAACTGAGATCCTAGAGAAGTAGTCAGATACAATACATCCAAGGACGTAAATGCACATTTAGATACCACCCAAGACGCTTTGCAACCTTTCTAGCTGTTAGCACCGTTTTTTCACAAGCACTCTCACTTCTACTCACAAATTTCAGCTCATATTCCACATTGGTTGCAATCAATATCACGTTGATGGCCCAGTAGATCAGGTATAGGGCCCATCGACCAACATAGAGACCAAAAACGGAGCCTGTCAAGTATCGCTTCGTTGCTCTTTGTGCGGTGAGAACTTGTTCTGAAGTGAATTATGGTCTTGCCGTCTTACCTGTGATTCCGTATTAATGCTCCGGTCCATTTGCTCTGCCCTCTTGAGTCATATTTCAGGTGAATCAGAGCCACCCAGTGGTAAATGACGAAGAGACTCATTATAGACCCAATGGCTATAGCGAAGTACTTCACACTCCAGGCATTATGGGCCAGACGAACAAATTTAGAAACCATAACCAATGCGGACAGTGGTAAAGTCTGTCGAGGTCGATACAATGGTTGAATGGGTTTCTAGCAACAAAGATATAGGGACGGTCCCATGGGATATCATTCAGATTATCAATCTCGGGGTATGAAACCTACTAGCGAGACAATTCCCTGGTCGATCCATCTGTTAACTAAACCCGGATAGGAACAGTCCGAGTAAGTAATACGTAGACCAATTGTGATTAGCCTTTTAGGTCCGAACTAGCGGACTTGGCTTTGGCACCCGGTGAAGCTAGTGTGGGAAAATACATAAGGCTGGCGACAGTTTCTTCTCGAATAGCGAGCACGTGGGAACCGGACATGTTGGATCATTGGTTCATATGTCTAGTCAAACATGAATATTATATCCTCCAGCGCTGTCCCTTCAGGGCTAAATTGTCTGTATCCCGTTCGAGCATCACAGCCCTCCTCACAATCCTTAGATGTTAATGTCTCACGTAGCCCAGATTCTGCAAGGCATCTGTTCCTGCGCGTCTCATCACTTTCTTTTAATTGTGGCGTCAGAAGTTTTGACAAATACGGATCTGTGATTGGAATTAACAAAAGTTGGTGGGGATGCACGGTGGAAGTTCGGTTCCTTTCAATCCCAGCACTCTCGGGTCCAATTGATCTACAATGATCTTGAAATTTCTGCCTGCGATCTTTACATACAGTATGTACAGTCTGTTCAAAAACGAAACCCAACGGTTTCTCCAATGTGAATTTAAGGCGCTACTGTCAGCCGGGCTCTAATCAAGCTTCGGGCCTCGGGCCCAGTGATCCATCAAAGGCTTCTTCTTCGGTGCCGAACAAGATGATCAACTTGATTTTACAGCTTCAATAGAACTCTTGAAACTCGAATACCAGGTAACAATGAACCCATGAATCTTCTCCAAGATACGCGTATGTGCGAAATTTCATGTTCAAGTTTTCATTTCCCCTTCACGGGCAAGATCATCCATCAGATAAAACATCTGCACAGCCCCCGCCGACCCACTCGAAATCACCCTTATCTGATGATCTTTGGCTCCTTCCAGCCCTGAAGGTTGAACACACGCTTGTTCCTTTCGAGAAGGTAGCATGACTTTTGTACTTCTGCTGTCTGGGCATACCAAATATGGCATATGTATCAATTTACTTCGCATTCGCGTTATACTAGTCCTTCCTTCCAAATATCCATGGGTGCATACGAATGGGAGGATCCATACACAAATCCCACTTGTCAAATCGCGGAGCTCCCCCGAGGCCGGAATGGACTGAACAGCTAGTACGGAGTACAGTACACTGCCCCATAGTAGACTCGTCGGGTAGAAGATGAAATGGCCTTAACGGTAATGTGTATCATTCTGACAGCTGCTCTGACAATCAATCTACTATGCACGCTCCGGGGATATTTCAACGGTCGAATTTCATTCGAGCTAAGGTTCGGCCACCAGCCGAAAAGGCTGCTTGGCGCTCAAAAGCCCCGCAAGCCCCCAACCCTAATACCCTTCTTTGCCTTCAATTATCCGATAGCAAGGGCCACTCTTCCCGAACATAGCCTGCAAGTCCTCGACAATTACAGTGGGGACCTCCCAAGCAGCAAAGTGACCACCATGGGTATGCTCACTTTCTCTCACCAATGGCCCTAGCACCGCAGCCCAGGTACTAGGCATGACCGAGATCTCCAGTGGAAGATGCGCAATCCCAAGTTTAACCGGGACATACCCCAGTAAGTCGTCGAGGGATTTGCCTTTGATCGGGCCCGAATGCATGGTTTCGTAGTAAATCCGAACGCTGGCCGCCGGTCCCCCGACGGAGAACCAGTAGATTGAGACCCACGTGAGGACTTCGTCATCTGTCCAGGGATATGAGTCTGTCCAGTCGTGAAGCTTCTCGTAGATCCACGAGAGCAGGGCGACCGGGCTATCTTGAAGTGCAATGCCGATGGTTTGTGGCTTGGTACTTTGCAACTTGTTATACCCGAAGCCTTCGGTATCGAACCATTGAGATCGTTCGAGGCCCTTTTTCTCTCGATCGCTGTACGGTAACAGTGTGTGCTGGAGCGCGAGCAAGGGGTTGCTGGCGAATTTGGGTGGTCTGGCGAGGACTGAGTTGATGTGGGATGCTTGGCAATGCTCTGGGTACAGGTGCCCGATGACTCTTGTGATCCAGAACCCCCAGTCTCCTCCTTGAGTCACTGCGGTGATGGGTTTAGCTCTGGCGCTGTGAAGTCATATGGACATTTGACATACCATACTTATCATAACCTAGCTTGATCATGAGTTTGTTGAGAACTTCGGCGTACTGTGCAAGGCCAAATCCACGACGAGTCACACCTGAGGAGAAACCGAAGTTTGGAAGCGATGGTGCCACAACATGGAAACCGGGTTGATTCTCATCTCCCTTGAGAAGAGGGAGAAGCTTTGACACTTCAATGAAAGATCCAGGCCCTATATAGCGGAGTCAGATTGTGTACTGTGCAGGGGAACAAAGTACAAGAAAAGCTCACATCCATGGATGAACAGCAATGGAATTGCAGCCTTGTTCGTGTTAATTTGGTGAACATCTTCATATATAAACGTAAGCATTCACAGATTCGGAAGTTTTCAACCAGCGATCAAATCACTCACAGTGAATGTCCAAAGTGCCAAACCCATCCACTGGAATCTGGACTTGGTACTGCGGCAACTCGTTCAATTTGGCTTCTGCCTTCCGCCAATCGAAGCCATTTTTCCAATATTCCACCAGCCGTTGAATGTCGCTGACGGGGGACCCAAAGTCCCACAGATTTTGCTCGTCGGCCTCGAGTTGAGTTGGTAGCCTGGCTAGTGTCAAGCGTTGTTGAAGATCTTTGAGACCATCGTCAGCGATGGAAATGTTGTATGGTTGCGGTTGGTCAGTCATCGTGAATTCTTGTTGTGTACTCCATGGGTGCTTTTGGCCTTTAAGTAGACGCCTTGGATGTCTGCTGCAGCATTGGCAAGCACGATGAAGTCATGACGATGTGAGTATAAGCGTTTTCCCCCGCACTTCGTGTAATGTACCTAGGTAAACAAGCCGTCCATTTGTAATCGTGAGGTTCTCGACTCCATCCATCGACTGTACTGCTGCCCAAGAGCAGAACCCAAAAGAGCCTGGATCATATCTGCAAAAACTTTCAGAGTTCACTCGTGAAGATATGAGATGTACGATGTAAGGGCGGACTGGAGCTCCAAGACGCGCTGGGTGCACATATGGGGCCGAGCCCCCTTAGTCATCGGCCTGGTTTCCCGAAGGTCATTGGCATATCGCGAGTCCGACTTTGTTCTTTGTCTACTTCACAACCATGTTCTCACTCCGGGCAGCTACGAGTGGCGCAAGAGGCCTGCGCGCCTTCTCCACAGCTCGCGCAATGCAAGCCGAGCTGGCATATCAGGTATTCGGACCGGAAAACGGCCAAGCTGTCCGAAAACCCATCCTAATCCTGCACGGCCTGTTTGGATCAAAACAAAACAACAGAAGTATTGGAAAGTACGTTTGAAGCAGGATTGGTCCTTCCAGATACGAATCCTAACATCTACAGGGCATTGGCACGGGATCTGAAGTGTCAGATCTTTGCTCTGGTGGGTTTACCGGATTATGCGGAGAGGATGTCAAGTGCTGATGGCGAATCAGGATTTGCGGAACCATGGCCAATCGTTCCATGCGCCAGAGCACAATTACAGTGTCATGGCCGAAGACGTGCAGGAGTTCATTGACCAGCAGAAACTGGACAAGTGCGTCTTGATTGGGCACTCCATGTACGTGACTGTCTCGGAAGCCCCAGGCTATGCGCATGAAGCCCGTATTGTCTAAATTTACTAACCAAACCAAAGGGGTGCCAAGGCTGCAATGGCAGTAGCTCTCCGTTCGCCGGAGCGTGTCTCAGCACTGATTCCTGTTGACAATGCGCCGGTCAACGCTGCGTTGAAAAGTGACTTCCCCAAATACGTCAGGGGCATGCAGAAAGTGGAGGCGGAAAGGGTCTCCAAGCAATCCGATGCTAGCAAGATCCTCGAAGATTACGAAGAGGTATGCCCTTCTTGAACGTCCGGTTTTACCTTAATCTTGACATCAAATAGTCGCTTCCTATTCGCCAGTTTCTTCTTACGAACCTGATCAGGTCAGAGGAAGACAATACGTTGAAGTTCCGTGTGCCGCTTTCGGTCATTGGTCGGTCATTGGACAACATGGCCGACTTCCCCTTTAAGGAATCGCACAATCTCCAATACACCGGACCCACGCTCTTTGTTCGCGGTACCAAGTCCGGATACGTGTCTGATGATACTGTACCGGCTATCAAGAAATTTTTCCCTAATGCCAAGATTGCAGATGTTGAGGCTGGTCACTGGCTGATCTCCGAGAACCCCGAAGCGTTCCGCCAAGGTAAGGTCCTTTGTTCGTTAAACGTGAGTCACGTGCTAATACCACGTAACCAGCGGTGGTTAAGTTCTTGGAATGAGAAATCGTGACCGCTGATTGGTGAAATATCAGACCACGTGATCTGTGGCTGATCACGTGCACATCACGTGACTCTATAAATAGATCGATAGATGCCCGTATACGGAGTAGACACATCCACTTAGTTCAATGTATACGGTCGGCAAATGGTGTAAGAGGTGATTTTTGTAGGCATATTTGATATCAAGTATTGGGTATCGGGTGACTCGGAAATAACTCGGATTTGTCGAAGCATGGCGGAATATTATTGCCAACTCTTGGCAACTGGTCGACGCAGAGCCAAAACGGGTAATTCAGAGACGGCGGACTGGAAAAAATAGCCATTTGGACGACTGGAGAGAGAAATATCCCCTATCCAGTCTTCTGCCGTTTCGCCGCGGGCCTCGTTGCATTTTTGTCGGCTTTCCTTTGGAGCTTCTTCTTCTCCCTCCGCTCCGCGCTAAGTCGCTCCCTCTCACGCTGCTGCTTGTCCTTCTGAGACTTGTTTGAGGAAATTGTAGCGGGAATACCACTGAGGAAGGCTGGCGAAGCAGGCGCGGTAGAAGGACGTGAGGCCAAATTTAGCTCGGGGGTGCTCACCCCGGAGTCGGTTCCAAATGACTCGCGAGAGCGCTTTTCCTTGACAAGCGCGAGTTGACGAGGTTCTAGATTACCCCCAGGAACCGAGGACTGGCTACCTTGTGACCCAATAAGCTTTGATAATGTCTGCTGCTTTTTTAGCTGTGATTGAGGGGCTTCGACCCGCTGGCTAATTGGCGTATTAGGCTTAGCAGAGCCCCCGGCTGACATTTTCTTCCTGAGGTCCTCGAGGCCGTCTTCGACCATTCTCAAACGGTTGCAGAACCCATTGCACTCATGGTTCACTTTCTCCACGCTCTCCACTTTCTTCTTGAGCTCGTCGGTCTCTTTACGTATCTTTTCGAAATTTTTCCGGTCCGTCACGTGGGCTTGAATGTCACCACACGTGATCATGTTTTCCAGTCGCTCGATCTTTTTCTCGAGTTTGGCAGCGGACTCAGCCTGAGTAGTCCTAGCGTCCAAAAGACCTTTCACGTCTGCATCGAGCCTCTCGTGTCTTGTAGTGCAGGTGGGATTGTCAAGACGCTTTTCTAACGCCCCAATCATTTGTCCCAGCTCGCTGAAATCTTGATTCTTTCCTTTCAATTTATCGACATTTTCGGAAAGCTCCTCAATGCAACCGTTCATAGTCTCGAACTTATTCTCCAAGGTACTGGATTCTTCAAGCCTGGCCCGTAGCGCATCATCATGCCGAGAAAGGGTCTCATTATGCCGCTTGAGGTCCTCGCCATGCTCGTGAAGGGTGTGATCATTGCGATGGAGAGTATCATCGTACCGAAGAAGGGTCTCATCATATCGATGAATAATCGCGTTCAAATCGGTAAACTTTTCATAGGCTTCAGACATCTCATGTAATTTCGGTGTCAAAGCAGAGAGCCCCTGCAAAGCCACCAGCTGGTCTGGTGCCAGGTTGCTATTTTGCGAACCGTTCATTTCCAGCAAGGCCTTGGCTTTCTCGAGCTGTTCTTTGGAGTCCGACTGTTCTTTCTGGATCGTTCTCATAGCCTCCATACCCGCTGTATGCTCTAGTTGAATCTGAGCAAGGTTTGCCCTCATCTGAGACACGTCTACTTTGGTTGCACCCTGCTTTTCGGAAATGGAGACTCTTTGCGCCAGCTCATTGAAGGCCTTCTTAGATTGTCCCATTTCTTGCCTGACTTGTCCCATAGAAGGGTACATTTTTTGCATCTCCTGGGCCATGGCGTTGACAAGATCACCGGTAGTGAGGTTAGTATACCGGGACTCTAGCGATCGGAGGGCTCGTGAGTGGGTAAGGTCGAGGTCCTCGCACTTCTTCATATTGTGAAGCAGAGAGTCGACCGTCGTTTTTGTTTCTTCAAACCCTTTGGCGGTGGCGTTCAGTTGATTTTGTATATTCAAGACTTCCGCCTTGTTGGCCATGTTCACATCCACTTGGCGGGCGAGTTTACCGAAATTTTGAGCAAACTCCGTTTGAGAAGACTCCATCGCTTTTGCATGGGTCCGATCCCTCTCCTCAGACAGATCGAAGTGGGATTTCTGCGCATTCTCCACTTTGGTCATGTTGGTCTTAAGCCCATGGAGTTCCACCTGCATGTCTTCAAGTCGTTTAGAGAGGGTTTCCTGAGCGTTGGAATGTATTTTCTGGATTCCCTCTAGCATGCCATCGTGTCTCTGAGTAACTTTTCTGAGCTCGGTGAGGGCTGATTCTTCCATATCACGAGTAGCCCTAGAGCCAGTGGGAACGATCTGTTGCTGTGCACCACGTAAAGCCTTCAGACCTCGTATGTGTTCCTCCTCAGCAGCTATTCTTTCCGACAGTGCATTTCTTCGAGCTTCAGTTTCGGGATCAAGTCGGGCAGCATCGTTTCCCATGTTCTGGGAAAGATTTCCGTGGAGGACTGCGTCACTCGGTGTATCTTTTTTGATCCCCGATGGTTGGTCTTGCAATCGCGCTTTTAGAGTCTCAAGGTCGTTTCTGATGGCTTGTATCTCTGTATCCCTGTTTTTCAAGACACCCATTATCGCATCCTTGACCTTCTCCTGGTTGTTGATTCTCGTCTTTTGCTCGGTTTGAGATATCGTTTCCCGAATTTGAGAGGCGTCTGCTCGGGCCTCCTTCCGCATAGACTCAAGTTCGCTGGTCAGCATGTCGATGCGAGAATCGGGCTTCGGTTCAGAGGACACCCCACTGAAACGACTTTCTGCCCGAGCTAAGAATGTTCGCTTTTGGCTGATCAAATTTTTCAGCTCGGTCAGTTCATCTTTCGCCTTGTGCAGTTGGCATTGATATGAGGTAACAGTGTTCGAAAATTGAGGAGACTGGGATGCCTTTTGCATCCGTTTAGTGAGAGAAGTGATTTCTTTCTCAAGTCTTGATCTCTCAGTTTCATGTTCCTTGAGTTGGATAGACGAGTTCACTATGTCAAGAATGGAAGGCGCGTTTGAAAAACTGGCTGAGCTTGGTGTTTCGGTGGACATAGGACCTGTGGGAGTATTCGATTGTGACGTTGGAGCGTTGAGTCCCAACGCATTTGGACCCGAGGCTTTGAGGGGTGATGATGGCACATCTCTGGGTGTTCGACGAGGATCACGCCCCGGAGCTGTGGTTGTAACCAGCATCGAATGAGGACCCCCTAGACGCTTCGGCAAATCAAGATCCATTGGTTCGGCCATCTTTCCTTGAGCTGCACTGATCGCAAAATACTCATGATAGTATTCGCTTTATCAGTGGGGCAGCAGGTGAGGTCACCAGGACGCTTGTTGTATAGGCCCCCGGAGTGGTTTGCTACCAAAGAGCCAAATTCTGGTTCGATCAAAGTCAAGTTGGGATGATTTGCATAGATCTCGACTCAAAACGTTGGAGTGGTCAACGTCTGCTGGGCAGAAATTGACGTGAAAGCGTGAAGTCGTGGGCCCGTGTAGGCGGTCCAGAGCGGTACTTATAGTCGGAGGATCCAGGGTGAGGAGATGAAAGAAGAAAGGACAAAGAAAACAGCAGAAGCTCGAAGCGAAGGTCACTAGCTTCACAAATCCCTACTAACGCCGACGCGATCAAGACCGTCGCAGTCGCGCAAAGTTCTTTGTTTAATTCTGCCGGGCGGGCAGACCACGCCCCTACATGTCTGCGTTTTTAGAGCTCCGACGAACCTCATCACACCTAATATCTCAGTCGACATTGCGCTGAATCTTTTCAGAAATGGCTGTCGTGAGTTATCCCAGTCATCCATTTTCGCATCCGTTGCTGACCCTGAATAGCCAATCTCAACCGTCGCGGAGAGCAAGGAGCTCCGGGGACTGAACCTCATCGCCGCCCACTCGCATATCAGAGGACTCGGTGTCGATGTAGACTCTCTACAGCCTCGCACATCATCTCAGGGCCTTGTGGGCCAGGAGAAGGCTCGGAAGGCCGCGGCCGTGATCTTGCAGATGGTCAAGGAAGGCAAGATTGCCGGTCGCGCAGTATTGATTGCGGGCCCCCCCAGCACTGGAAAGACAGCAATCGCAATGGGAATGGCACAATCGCTTGGTCCAGATGTACCATTTACTATGCTCGCTGCCTCCGAAATCTTCTCCATGGAAATGTCCAAGACAGAGGCCTTGACTCAGGCATTCCGAAAGTCTATCGGTGTGCGCATTAAAGAGGAGAGCGAGATTATTGAGGGTGAAGTTGTGGAAATTCAAATCGATCGGAGCGTTACTGGTGTGAGTATCATCTAAACTTGACGGCCTTGTTGCATTGACGAATGCTAATCTCCCCCAGGGCAATAAACAAGGAAAGCTCACAATCAAGACCACGGATATGGAAACGATTTATGACATGGGAACCAAGATGATCGACTCGATGACCAAGGAACGTGTTATGGCCGGAGATGTTATCTCGATTGACAAGTCCTCCGGCAAGATCACCAAACTCGGCCGGTCATACGCGCGCTCTCGCGACTACGATGCCATGGGCGCCGACACCAAATTTGTTCAATGCCCCGAAGGCGAGCTTCAAGTCCGCAAGGAGATCGTCCACACTGTCAGCCTGCACGAAATCGACGTTATCAACTCACGCTCACAAGGCTTCTTGGCCCTCTTCTCTGGAGACACAGGCGAGATCCGCAGCGAGGTCCGGGATCAAATCAACACCAAGGTCGCGGAGTGGAAGGAAGAAGGCAAGGCAGAGATTATTCCCGGTGTCTTGTTCATCGACGAGGTTCACATGCTCGATATTGAGTGCTTTTCCTACATCAACCGTGCCCTAGAGGCCGAGCTAGCTCCCATCGTTATTATGGCTAGCAACCGTGGCCAGGCGCGCATCCGCGGTACCACATACACCTCCCCCCACGGTCTCCCGCTCGATTTCCTTGACCGCGTCGTTATTGTCAGCACGGCGCTGTACTCCGGCGATGAGATTCGCCAAATCCTGGCCATTCGTGCTCAGGAAGAAGAAATCGACCTTTCGCCCGACGCTCTCGCTCTCCTTACCAAGATTGGCCAGGAGTCAAACCTCCGCTATGCCAGCAACATCATTACCACTTCGCATCTCTTGACTCAAAAACGCAAGGCTAGTGAGGTTAGTGTCGACGATGTCCAGCGCAGCTTCCGACTCTTTTACGATCCCGCTCGGAGCGTGAAGTTCATCAACCAATACGAGCAGCGGTTCATTGGCGACCAAGGTACTGTCAGCTTCACTGTCGGAGCCAATGGCGATGCGATGGAACTATCTTAATAACCCACTCGTCATGAGTCTTCGGGGTAAAACTACACTGAACTTTCTGATTTAAATTTGCTTTTTGTGTGACATCCAATGATGTATGATAGGATTGGCGCTTGTTGAGGTATTCGGGCCTTTGGAATTTAATTGCGGTCCTCTCTTTTGGGGGTCCTGATATTATTTTTTTATCATATTGCTTATGTAGTTTCATGTAGCCAGCCAGGTAGCTGTGGGTTATCACAAAAATTCGACAGTACTGCTCCAGGGCCCAGAGTCGCCAGCCCGGCGGAATTCAACACCTTCACCAAAGTAACCGGCGTTCTTCCACGAGTCCATCATGGCGCTGTCGTATGGTCCGTTGACAGTTCCCCCATCTCGAGCATCGGACCATCTGTACTCCCACATTGCAGGTCCTTGCTCTGTTGCCTCATGCTCGGAAGAAGGGTCAATCCATGCTTCGCCTGTCTCGGAGCGATATTGTCGAGTAAGAATTTCGCGTTCGGTGTCGTAGATTTGTTCTTGGCCACGTCCCATCAAAATGTCCGCAGCTCCAGTTACAGCATCGATTGCCTGCTTCCGAGCTACCTCATTAGGGTCTTCGTCGACCATCTCGGCATCCTCGGGGACGTTTTTCTTGTTTTTCTTGTTCTGCCACTTGGGCTTTCGGCGAAGGCCCTTGCCCAAACGAGCGAGCGCTTCGAGTATTGTCTCGCCGCGTTCCAGGTTGGTGATGAGAGTTTTCAAAACATCGGCTGTCAGAACACTGTCGTCCATGCGGTCCTTGGCCTTCCGTTCTTCTTCACGCTGATCGGCGGCTTCTTTGGCCTTCTTGATGTCTTTCTTGGAAAGACCGTCCAACCACGAATCGTGGACCGCGTCTGGGTCGATGGCTTTGCGAACGTAATTGCCTGCTTCGTCGAATTTACCCTCTTCCTGCTCAGCCGACATGTTGAAGGCATCAAGAAGAGGCGCATGTTTCTTTTTCGCGCCTGCGCCAAGCTCGTGGTCCACTTCATCGGCTCGCGCGCGCTCTTCCTCCCCAACTTCACTGCCACTATCACCGTCGTCGTCGTTGGTTGCACTTGCACCCTTGCCTAAATCAATGTTGATGCCTCCGCCACTTTTGGATGAAGCGACCTGACCCTCAATTTCATCGTCCCGTAGGAAGCGAACGGACTTCTTCTTGTGTAGAGCCTCGTCGCCGTCCACTTCTTCCTCGCCAAAATCTTCCTGCAGCTCGGCGAACATGTCATCATCATCATCATCTTGTTTGGCTTGCTTGCGCTTAGATTTCTCCTCCGCGCGCGCGCCGAAGCCCTCGTTCTCGCTGTCCGAATCATAGCCGTCAAGATTGACAGCTTTGCGCCTGATTTGCTGGCCTCGGCGGCCGATCTCATCGGCGTCCAGAACTGCGTCGTCCTCTGGAGCATCTGCAGCGAGGGCGGAGGGGTTGCGGAGATCGAAGCGTGGCTTCTTTTGTTCTGAAGATTCCTGCGGGTTGGCATCGTAGTGGCTGCCGGCAAAGTCTTCGCCGCTGCGCTTAGGGTGGGGGTAGGAGCTCGACATTTTGATTCACTGTGATGCTGCCAAGTGCGAAAAAAGTGCAAATTGTGTCCCTGGCACAAGTGCCACAAAGAAATGTACCTGTAACTCGAGCTTGTCTGGGGTCGGAGCGGAAAATCATGGCGGAACGAACTGCGTCACCGGCAGTCGAGAAGGCGGCGTTGTACCTCAAACCCGAGCTAACACTTCACTTTGTTTCCAACCTCTCTTTCAACAACTCATCTTTCGATATGGTGAGGGCATTCTGAGCCTGTTCACAAGCTTCAGTCTAACTCTATCTTCTAGTTCCGACCTGGTTACTGGTCTGACGACCCTATGGATGGTGTCTTAGGCGCTGGCATGGCCCGCCCCGGTGCTACTGCCCGCCGCTTCGATGAATACTACCGCTGCTATCCCGTTGCAATGCTTCCTGGTCCCGAAAGGGAGAATGTCAATCACGGTGGAAAGGTCATCATGCCTCCGAGTGCATTGGACAAGCTTACTCGACTTCACATTACATACCCAATGATGTTCGAGCTTCACAATGGCGCAAAAGACAGGAATACCCATGCGGGTGTCTTGGAATTTATCGCTGAAGAAGGGAAGATTTATTTACCATTCTGGGTAAGCTAGGCAAGCCCCTCTCTGTGTGTGTTGACTTCATACTAAGACTCGGCTTTTTCTTTAGCTTATGCAAACATTACTGCTCGAGCCCGGTGACCTCCTCCAAATTAAATCGACAGACCTTCCTCCTGGTCAGTTTATCAAGCTTCAAGCACAGTCAACCTCATTTCTCGATATTAGCGATCCCAAAGCCGTCCTCGAAAATGCGTTCCGCAACTTTTCGTGCCTTACCAAAGGAGACGTTTTCACATTCGGATACAATGACCAGGTCTACGAGATGGCTGTGCTAGAGACCAAGCCTTCTGGTTCAAAAAATGCGGTCTCTGTTCTAGAAACCGATTTGGAAGTGGATTTCGCCCCTCCGGTCGGTTACGAGGAACCACAACGTACAAGCGGCACCAGCACTCCTGGCAGCGCCATCGGGGGTGGCAAGCTTCCATCCGGAGGCCTATTACACCCTCATGGCAGCATGGCGCAATCAATCAACTACCCGGCCATCGCCCCCGAGGCGACTGATGCAGCGGCAGGTGCGCGCGCTGCATCCTCCAACTTCCTGACTGGGGGACAGCGTCTGAATGCAAAGAAGGGCAGCAAGGCCCCGACTCCTAACCCGTCAACCCCAACTCCAGGCGCCTCGGGCTCCCAAAATCCTCCTCTTCGGAGAACCAACGGCCCCCAGCCCCTCCGACTTCCCCCCAATCAGCTATTCTTTGGATATACCATTAAGCCGGTCAAGCCTCGTGATGAGAATGGACAGGTCATTGCAGATGATCAACCGAAGTTCCAAGGAATCGGGCAAACATTACGAGGAAAGAGAAAGGATCTGGCTGACTCCGCCACCGCCTCTGGCAGTGAGGCTGAAAGCCAGAAGGGCAAGAATAGTTCCAACAAATCTGACGGTGGACGGACCCTCGGAAAACGCTAGCCTGTGGCTACCTTCTACCTACCTTTGTTATGACACTCCCGGGTTTAAATCGGAGTCACCGGATCTCACGGCGGGAGTCTTTTATTAGGGCATAGCAGAGCTTGCGCCTGGCGTTAAGGGGCAGTGCCTTTTTTTAAAAAAGTTTCTCTTCAATATAAGATGTACTTGCCAACTATTTTGTATTTGCATATCATGTAACTTGCCCCTGACTGATACCTAGTTCTTTGTTGGTTTTCGTTTGCCAGGGTTTCGGGCACTCGCAACGTCTGATCACCAGCTGTCATTATCCGCGGCCGTCTACTCCGTACTCCGTATTGATATTGGCTACATATTCCGCGTCCTGCGTCCTATTTAAAGGCATCCCACGGAGCACGAAGTAGTCACTGCAAATCGAGACCTCGACGTTTATAGTTCCAAGTGGAACGGTTCTTGGCAGCCGCGGCATTGCGAAAAAAATAACAACAGATCGACCACTTTCTTTGTTCAGCGCCCATCATGTCTTCAAAGGTCGAAGATCCGCTGGCATCATTTGCCAGGCTGGGCAGCTCGGTTTATCTCCAGGAATCAGACTCAAGCGACAAAGCCAAACCCGTCATCTTCATTGCATTTTGGATGAACGCCCCTGCTCGCGCCTTGACAAAATATGTACTCGAGTACAGGCGCCTCGTTCCATCGGCGCGAATCATCTTCGTCAGAAGCTCCTCGAATGATTTCCTCTGGCCTTTGAAAAGCCAAACTCGTAGGGATCGCGTGGCCCCCGCCGTGGCCGCCATGCAGGGGTTAGTGACCCCTGAAAACCCGGTGTTCCTCCACCTCTTCTCAAACGGAGGTCTGTCTCACACAGCGCATCTCTTGGAAGCCTGGAAGATGACAACGGGGACTCCATTGCCAATTTCGGCAATGGTCCTGGATAGTGCGCCTGGAAGCCTGAGTCTGCGATCCGGACTTAGGGCTTTCTCGTTTGCGCTGCCGCAGATGTGGATCCTGCGAATACTTGGCAAAGGCTTGCTTTTTGTCATGTTGCTGTTTGTGATGTTGATCCATTTCCCCCGATCATTCCCAGATCCTATCACGCTTGCGAGGAAGCTCGTTAATGATTCCTCTCTGGTGCAAGCTGCTGGTCGCGGTGGGAGGCTCGCTCGGTGTTATCTATACTCTGATACCGATCCTTTGGTTGATTGGAGAGATACTGAGTCCCATGCATCTGAGGCTGAGTCCAAGGGCTGGGCGGTGCGACGTGAGTTGTTCAAGGGATCCCCTCACGTTGGACACATGAGGTCCGAGCCGGATCGGTATTGGAGTGTTATTAAAGAGTATCTTTGGCCCCTGTCGTCCACATGAGGCTTGGTTATTCCAAGACTTTCTCGTCACATTTCGGTTGTTTCGTTCTCGGGGTGGCTGTTCGGGTCACACCTGGGCACTATCAAACACTATACTGCCCAGGTGTGCGACAAGATCGTATGATCAAGTTACACGTGTATACCCATCTTTTGTACATATATGCGTCAGATAATTTCCATCAAAGATTGATTCCTTTGGAATCGGTGCTATGCGTAACCTTGGAAGATTGCCAGGTTCCCAGATTTTGGTTGATCGCAACCTGTCCTCATTCCAAGGTTCCTCCACGGATATGTGAGACTGTTTGACTGCAGGCCCCTTAACCGAATGCAAGTCTTCCATCACCTGTAACACCTGTGCCTAGGTGTACATGCTTCATAACCTTGGCAACCTGACACGGTACGAGTAGAGACATATACTAATAATTCTCAATTGAAATCCTTAGGGCGGACTCGAATGAGTATCATCACCTGCAGGTGGCATGGATATACACCACCTGGGCAGTACTCCGTAGACCATCCATACTATACCTAGGTAAACGTCATCTGAGGCTTCTGTGAGAATCCAAAGATACAAAATAGATCTTACAATCACCAAGGATGCTCTCGGAATCAGCGGCCAGTCATAATCACGGACTTTCAGCTTGCAATCTATAGCATCTACGTTCCCGAGGTCTCATTCTCGTCCACGGTTGATGCTGATGATTGAATCATGACTGTTTTTCTGTCCGATACGATCATTTACTACTAAAAAGCAAACAGTCGGAACGGATTTCCGCAGCTTCCGTGTAGATCCAACATCCGTGATTTAGCTTGAAGACGACACAGCTGCATCATTGGTCCTGCCCAGGTGTGGTTATTTCAAGTCTTGGGCGAATTCCTCGCCTTCACGAAACTTGACAATTTTTGGCGTGGATACAATTTGCGTCAACTCACGCTCGCTCTGAAGTGAACACATTGTGATTGATGTCTCTCGGCCACTTCCACGGAGCTTGACAATGTTTCAACACAAAGCCAACGATGCAAGCTTCCTCAACACAAAGGCATCCAAGGACTGTCGCTTCGCTCTTCCCGGGTTTGGCAGACCATTGGACTATGCCCCAACAGAGAAGAATATTTATGGTGTCGAGAGTCGTAGTATGTTTCCCTCTGCTTTAGACGATAGGGATATTGAGGCAGGATATGTCGAGTGAGTTCACGTACCCTGAGAAAGGCTCCACGCTGATCTTATATTTCCCAGTTTGCCCGTTCTTACTCTCCGTGAGATCGCGATGGTGGATTACATGGAGGACTTGACGGATATACCAGAATGGTGGAAAAAGGTCAGCCGTTATCGCACAATGATGAAGATATTGAAGCTGATAATATCGGTAGGTATTTGACCCTGCATACCAGGAGCAGTGGAAAAAGGCTGCATTAAATGGTGACAGGGACATCACGCTCAACATGGCAGAGTGGATCATTGATGAGCTCCAATTCAAAGCCATGATCTACGAGACGACCAGCGTTGTGGCTTTGTATAACGGAGATGTCACCAAGTCGGATTCCAACTTATCCGAGTCTTTGATCAGCAATCTCAAGACTCAGATCAAAGCCCTGGAGTTTGATCAGGAGGTCCTGAAGTTCTATCACCCAGGATCTCTGGCAAAGCAGCGAGACTTTATAGCCATGGCCCTTTACCCACTCGTTTATGGAAAAAGTCGCATTCTCATGGACAGGGTCATCACACTAGATGAAGCCCTTGACTATGCTGGCCAAGGGGAAGTGATTCCGGTTCCAAAAGAGACAGGAATCACCAGAGAAGACATTGCCTGGCGTGTTTTTTCCCGCGCAGACATTCAGGTACGTCCTTACAGTCGGGACTTCCAGTGTCTGCCGACGGATTGGGAGTTTCGCGATGATGGCCGATGGCACATTGCGACATATGTCAACAACCTTCACCCGGTCAAGCACCGGCCCATCTACAAGCTCATTGAAGAAGCTTTCAACTGTATCATCCCGCAATGGAATGCCACTCTGACTCCCCTCAAGGACATGCTTCATTCCCGTGCTCGGATCGAGTATCACAAGGCGGAGTATTATCCTGTCATGAAAGAAGCTGCGGCACGGGCGCCCCAAATGAGGCCCAGAGAGGCCCAGAGTGAGTTCGACGAACGCATGGAAGAGTGGAAAATGAAGAATTACACCGCAATCCAGCCCGATGCAGGCAAGTTCCTACCATGGGCAGTCCCTCCCTGGATGATGGACAAGTTGCCCGAAGACCTACCCGCAGCAGTGAGGATCGAGCGCGGCGTTGATCTCAATCGGGACTACAAGGAGCGTGGCCTGCAGGTCATAACCCGCATGCTGGGTATTGACCTTAGCCCCGAAGAGCCGGCTTTTGAGGCCGATTGGCATGTCGAATGCACGATGGTAAGCAGGACGGTCTCCATTCATCCAAAATCCACTGACACGGCCAGAATGAACATATTTGTGCCTCCGCCTTCCTGACCTACGAGCACGACAACGTCGAGGACGCTTACATGGAATTTCGCAACATGGCTGAAACAGCTTCGCTGACTGAGGTTGATCATGAGCCCAATGACTTCATCTGGCTGCGCCAGGTCTTTGGTCTTGAGAACGGCGAGCCTGCGATCCAAGCTCCCGGTTCCATTCGCGCCATGCCAGGCCGCTGCATCATGTATCCCAGTACAGTGCAGCACAAATTCACTCGCTTCGAGCTGAAAGACAAGACGAAGCCTGGATTTGCACGAGCCTTGGTCTTTCTCCTCGTTGATCCCAACATTCGGATCATCTCCACGGCCAATATCCCGCCTCAGCGTCTTGATTGGACTATGGACATTCCGGAATCTGGAGAAGAGTTGAAGGAGACCATGGCGAAGCTGGCGCTGGAAAATCGGAATTCGAAGGGTAATATGCCCATGACACTTGATGAGGCTCTAGACTATCGAGTCAAGGTTTTGAAGGGAATGATGGAGTTTACGCGGTATCAGCATGTTGCTTTCGAGTCGAATGTTCTAATGCTTTGATGTATTTTGTGTATCTTTTTGCTTTCTTCCTAGAATAACCTTGTACCCAAAATTGATGTCCTCGGTGGTATTTGAAGAGATGTCAATATTCTAACAAGTACTATGGTCTTCGTATTGGAACGTCAGGTCATGTGCCTTCATCTGGCAAAAGAGCCAAGAGAGAGAAAAGATTATTATTGTCCAGGCACTATCCTACAAGCAGAATTACAGAAGTCCTCCGGGCTTATTGGAAAGAAAAGTAATAACATTGAAAATCGCCGCGCTATGCCATTTATTCGTTCCGAGTATGCACATGACCAATTTTTAGATTCCGCCAGAGCTTAACGGCCCTTCATCTCAGGGAACTCGTCGTCAAGCTTCAGACGAGCCGTGACGTTCATACTCATCATCTCTTGAATGAGTAGCTTAGCAGCGTAAGGAATGACCATCTTGACGACAGAGCGCGAAGACTTGCATCCAGGGCACCAATTTAGGTATCCCATGAAACCACACTGCTCGCAAACATCCACCTCGTGGCGATCGGAGGAAATCATCAAACGCTCAAGTAGCAGCTGGCTGGTACCGTACGCAATCAAACAATCACGCTCCATCTCTCCGAGACGCAGACCTCCGTTGCGGGAACGACCTTCCGTAGGTTGACGGGTGAGGGTAGCGGTTGGACCCTTTGCACGGGAGTGCATCTTATCTTGAACCATATGCTTCAGCTTTTGATAGTAGATCGGACCGGTGAACACGTAGAAGGGAAGCGCTTCACCGGTGATACCGGAAGTGAGGTAGTCTTTTCCACCGTAACTGAAGCCCTTGTCGATGAGAATCTGGGACATCTCTTCGACGGGACTGCCACCGAAACAGGTACCGTAGCCGTGCTGGCCGGACAGAACACCTGCCTTTCCGGCGACGAGTTCCAACATTTTTCCGACTGTCATTCGAGAGGGGAAACCGTGGGGGTTCATGATAATATCGGGGTTGATTCCAGAGTCTGAGAATGGCATATCGGCTTGATCCGCGATGATGCCGACGACACCCTTCTGTCCGTGACGAGAGGAGAACTTGTCACCAACTTCTGGGCGACGTGTTTGACGAGTCAGAACCTTGATGAGTTGCGTTTCACCTTCGGTTGCCGAGACAAGGACCTTGTCCACGTATGCGGGATCGGGCAACTTGTACGTCATGGAGGCATCGATGCTTCCACCGCCGCCGATATCAGCGCCTGCGATGCCAGACGAGTTCTGGACTCGGGGAGAGACCTTCCGAATGTAAGTCTCGCCGGAGCTCATCAGCTCGCCGACCGCAGCCAGACCATCGGACTCGAGAAGGGCGTGCTTGCGGATAGGAGCATCATTTTCGTAGTCAGGACCCTGCAGCTGATCCTTTGCTCCGCTTGGGTAGGACTTCAGGGTAGTGACGTATTTGCGGAAGACCTGGCAACGTCCAAAGCCACGGTCCACAGAGCCCTTGTTCAAAACCAGGGCATCCTCAATATCGTAGCCAGAGTAACTCATAACTGCAACAGTCGCGTTCTGACCCGCAGGTAGTTGGTCATATTTCGTCAATTCGATGGTTCGGGACTTGACCATTGGCTTTTGCGGGTAAACCATCAGGTAGAGAATAGAATCAATTCGCTGGAATTGATTAGAAGCAATTGCACCGATAGCTTGCTTACCCATAGCACATTGATATGTGTTACGGGGGGATTGGTTGTGGTGAGGGTAGGGAATGAGACCTGCGACAGCACCAAGAACAGTGAACGGCTCAATCTCGAGATGCGTATGTGTGTTGGAAATGTCTTTCTCGTAAACTGCGATGTAGGAGTCGTTCTCTTCGTTTACATCGAGATATTCCACAAGACCTTGGGCGAGGAAGTCGTCGAATTCCATCTTCCCGTCGCGCAGCTTTTCAAGGTGGCCGACTGTAACAAGTGGCTTGCCATTTTCAACAATGATCAGCGGTCTACAAATTCGACCGTCGTCGGTTGCGACGTGGACAGCTCGCTGGTGGTGATTGATATAGATACTGACGAACTCCGAGACTCGCCCCATACGACGCAGTCTGCGGAAAGCGTTGAGGAAAGACTTGGGGCGTCTTGTCAGTCCAGTGGGTGTACCGTTGATAGAGATGGTGTAGGCTCCACGGGTGTAGAGTTGTTTTCCAGCAACACTCGAGATTTCTTCAATGCCCAGCATGAACATCAGGTTGCGCACTGGTCCCTCTTCGTCATTGGTTGTGATATGTGTCATTAGGGCCAAGTTCTTGACCAGACCACAGGCCTCACCTTCAGGTGTATCGGCAGGGCATAGCATACCAAAGTTAGATGGTTGCAAGGCACGAGGACCAGAAACCTTTCTGGTCTTCTCGAACTGCGAACTGATACGTGTCATCATACCAAGAGCTGCAATGTAACTCAATCGACTCAAAACGTGGGTAACACCTGCACGCTCCATGCGGAAACGCTTCAGACTCCAATTTCCAGTGGAAATGGCTCGGTTCATGCCCTGCGTGATGTGATTCCCGTGCATGGCCACAATAGTCCAAGCATCAAACTTCTCAGCTCGATTGCGCTTGTTCAAAACTTTGTCAATGTTCATTTTGATATCAAAGCAAAATTTCTTGAACAAATCTTCGAAAAGGAGAGCCAACATCTGACCTGCTAGTTCCAAACGTTTGTTTCCAAGATAATCACGGTCATCGACCAGGGCCGCATCGTTCTTGGCCATAAGAACACGGCGAGCCATGTGGGCAACGTAAATGGCCTTAGGGCGGAAGTTCATGTCCTTGACCTCGATGTGGGAGATGATAACGGATGCAATGGCCTCGACGGCTTCTTGTACGTGTGTTTTGCGGTAGGTTGCCTGCTTCCGGTTGATCTTGATCCGACAACCAATCCACTCCAGAGCCTGCTGCTGGGTAGAAACGCCGACGTTAATGGCCTCCTCAAAATTGATGGCAAAATCGTCTTGATACTGCTGATCATCACCAGTGACCATTTCCAACATTTCCTTGTCGGTGTGAATCCCCATGGCCTTGAGCAATACCGCGATGGGGATGTCTTCGTTGAGAACGTTGTGCTTGACATATAGACGTTCTTTCTTCAGGACGATGTAACTCTTAGATTTGCGCTCGTTGGAAGAACTGCAGATGTCAGCTTTGGGGTCCTTTTCAACATAACGTACAGCCATGTAGTTACCTGGTAACCGATGCCTGGACGATTTCTTTCTTTGGATCGGTTTCAACGATAATTCTGTTCTTGCTCAATTGCTCCTGGACAAGAATGACCTTTTCTGTTCCGTTGACAACAAAGTAACCACCAGGGTCAAGTGGACACTCGTTGAGAACGCTCATCTGGGCAGGTGTCTTGTTCGATAGCACACACTTGGAGCTGCGAAGCATGAGGGGGATTCTTCCAATGGGCACACCTCGTCGAATAACCCTCTGCCGACCACGAACATACTCGAAATCAACAAGGATAGGAGCAGCGTAAGTTGTGTCTCGCAGTCTGCATTCTTGCGGTGTGATTGTCGACTCGAAGTCATATCCTCCATCGCCTTGCTCGTCGGCGCGTCGAGGGGAGGCGACATATACGTCGGTAAACTTGATGTAGAAGTTGTGGTCGACATCGCTGCGGATAGTGGAGCTCGACTCAACGATCTTCTTCATTTGCACTTCGACGAAATAGTTGTATGAGTCAATGTGCTGCTTCACCAGTCCCTTGACCTTGAGAAAAGCCGGCAGCAGATTCCATTTGTCCTTGGCGGTGTCAATTGGATCTGTCAGTCCCTTGTTGTAGTAAAAGGGCTCCAAGAGAGCGTCAAAGGGATCGCGCGGCTTGAACTTCGGAGCATTCGGATCATCCTGGGGCGCCGGCTGCTCAGGCGCCGGGTGCTGGTGAGGCTCAGGCACAGGCCCAGACTGCGAGGGACGCTTGCGCTTCGTGGGATCCGATGATTGGTCGCCAGCCTGGAAATTCGGCAATCAGTCAGAACATCATCAACAGCATGAAGCTTTTGCGACTGGACAGAAAAAAAGTTTTGTTACCTCTGAAGGACGTCGCTGGCTAGCCGCAGAGGGCTGGGGCCTTCTGCGCGGAGGCATATTAGCTATCCCGCTGATATGCAGAGATAATTCTCTATCTCAGACTCCTCACTCGTCTAAAAGTGAGCTTGCAGTAATTCCGCATGGAGGGGAAAGATTTGATTAGAGCTATCGCGATGGATCCTTACGTAATCTGGAATATTGATAGTCCGGGATGACAAATGTGGGCGCTGCCGCCGGAGATTTCGGACTTAACCAGTTCGCTCTTACAGAAGGTCAATGGATGATAACCTTGGAAGTACTATCACTTCCGAGTCTGTTTAGCCCAGTGGTTTCAGAAGGACCTCTATTGTGCTCAAAGTAAAGCCATCTGTGACAGATTTCTATCTCGCACTTCTATCTGGAACGGTCACCTTTGTGTCAAGCAAAGCAATGATCACTTCCAAGGTTCAAACTCCACACAGGCTCACAGGCACACTACCAATCACAGAATTCCAAGGTTCCCACAGGGATATTATAGTATTCAACTTGGAACCACAAAAATTCAACTACATGCCATAAGCACGGTCCGTTGATTGACAACCTAGCGCGGAAAATTTTATGAGATGCTGTGAATGTGAATTGCCGGCCTCAATGCCCAGTTGGTGCCATACCACACGGGTCACACCTGAGCACCTAGCATGGATGGATGTTTCATATGAACCTTGGAACCTTGAACAGGTTGAATGTTGATAAGAGTGTGTAGGTTTCTTCGAGAGTTACTAGGTTAGCTCGTGGCCAGGTGACAGTGGACAATTTTGGAAGGGTCGGAATATATATTTTGGGGTGGACCTCGGGACCAGCCTCAATACCTACCTAGTAACCCGTCGGGAAAACGCACTCCGGTATCTACAAGTACCTATGTGGACCTACTGGGAACTAGGTAGGCATAAGAACCTTGGAAGTGAACCTTGGAATACGAAAAGAGAAAAAAAAAGTATCATGTTCGAGTGTATACCTAGGTAGGTGAGCTGCCCTGAACCCATGGCAATCGAGCCTAGAGGATCGTAAGTCCCGGGTCAGCCTCACAGCACCAACGTCATACCTAGATAGCAACCCTTGCAGGCACTGGGGACTGAATCGAGATTATATACTCCGTACTCCGTACTCAAATTAGAATTGTAAACCAACCCGTGGCCTTGGGCTTCCTGAATCACCTGGCCATGCAAGGCTGAAGTTGGATGAGGCCATGTCGGGTATTGTCAAGGATCATTGACATGCTACGTGTGGGTCGTCGCGCATACCCCGAACGTTTATCTCTGCACGGACGAATTGATCGGAATCGGTGTGGCTCACCAAAGTGATGTATAAGGCCCGGAAGAAGCGGTCACGTCTCCGTCAGTGTAGGAAGGAGGTTCTTCAGTGCCTAAGAGCGCAAGGGCTGGCACGTTCAGGACAAGGATGGGCATGGTCGCACCGGTAAGATCCAGAATCGGAACCACCCGGTCATGTATGGAGGAACGTGATGCCTGTGGCAAAGACAGTTGACCGCAAGATTGGAATTGCCACCCCAAACTTAGTAGGCCTCTTGCTAAACGGCCGAGGAAAAATACATCCGCACCGTGAGGGGTATGCCATACCGGAGGTTATCGAGGGCATGGAAATTCAAAGATCGTCCACACAATCGAACATTTGACTGTGCTTTCCTGAAGAAATCCGCTCCAGACATATTGGCCAGGATCGGCTGTCGAGTCTAGAAAGGTCGATTACCCGATTGCAGGCTCGGCTTCACGGAGGTGACGGAGGGCTTGTTTCAGAAATTATTTGCCAGTACTTTTGGGAGTTGCACGTCTCGGAATGCAGTCGTGATTCGTTCCCGAATCGAGGCGGCCAGTTAATTGCGGCGTAAACCGTTGGGCATGAAAGGAAGCGGGTAATGTATTGGATTATTTGGGCGTCAATAAGTGGGTTTGTGAGTCCGCGAGATGGATTGTGATATAACTATGACTATTGGGTGCTGCGGCGATAGCTGGCACACTAGTTCGTTTCCGGGATCCTCGCACTGGGGTTGGACGTATCACTTGGAGATCATGGGGTTCGCATATGGGAACCAAAGGGAGGTTATATACCCCTGTGCCTACGGAGTACGAATTTCAGATTCGATCTGGTTCACCGATCAGAGCACGCTCCCAACATGGCTGAGGGGTCACAAGTGGCCCATCGGCGATCGCCTGAATAAATCCTCAGTAATAAGGATGACGGCGGGGGGCATTGATCTCCACTAGTATGCTCGTCATTCGGTGGATCAGGGGCTCCGAGCGACACGATCAGCGTTGGCTGGCACGGTACACCGCTTGTCCTGAGAGAGCCCTTATCGTGCATATGTGGAGTGGAAGCCCTAGAGGAGATTCTTCGAGAATACTATAGTATAAGTAGTGGGTAAGTCGAGAGTATACCCGTGGACAGGAGTCGTAGAGAAACAGCCCATGGAACAAACAAAGAACGGCATGAACCATCTGATTGGCGTGATACTAAATACATAGATCCAGGTACGCCTAATCTTAAGCTGTCACATCTTCGGGTTCTGATGCAGCTGCCACGCTCTAACAGCGCATTGAGCCCTTGCGCGACCGTCTCTCTAGTCTGCCATGGAATTGACCATTCCCAGCGCGCGTTGGAGTTCTGGGATTCGAGTCATACAGGTATTGAGAGTCAAGTTCGCAAGATGGATTTTCACATTTGGCGAGATCCCAGTGCAGTTAGCGGCCATGAAAGAAAATAAATCAGATGCAATGTAGAAGAGAAGGTCTAAATAAATCCGGAGTAGGATAATATCCCTAATTTAATCGACAGTAGAAAAAAAGAAAACCCCATCTCATACCCAAAGAACACAAATTCCCAAAAAAAGATCTCCCCGCTCTGGACTCCCAGCCATTTTCTCCCCTCTTCGCTTCTTCCCTCTGCAACTCCCCCCCCCTTTGTACAACAGCTCTGTATCGTTCCTTTGGGTTATTGTTAGGTTGTGTTTCCTCTTTGCGCGACACGCTCGTTTCGCCGCGCCCTCGATTCCTCGCTAAGAGCGGTAAGAGAGCTCCATCCCACTCTGCAATCTCCCTGCTGATCTCCGCATCGTCAGGTACACACGATATTCTCTTAAAAAAAAGCCTCCTTCGACGCTACATGACCTGTACCCCCTAAAGCCACATAGCAACCCATCGTCACCCCCATTTTGACAACTCTCGAGGCGTTCATTGTGTGAGTAGCGCTCCCCGTTCGCGAAACGCAGATCACCGCCGGCCCCTCAGCCCCTCTCTCCGATTTCCCCTTACTTGAGACCGAACACACCGCCCATCACTCGGACATTTCCCTGCCACCGTAAGAGCGTGGCGTAATACCTGGAGCTGGTCGTGCTTGTGTTTCCCCGGAGCTCTAAAACCCCAGTTGCGGCGTCAACAATATCCAGACCTTAGCTGACCGGTCGACCCTTTCTTTTTGGTGTAGCTGAACATATCGGCTCTCCCCACGATGGCCTTCAAGCATGGGTTGAGTGAACGCCTCGACGAGCTGCGATTTCCTTCCCCGCGGTCTCCCCCCTCGGAATCGGCGTTCCCTGGGTACACTTCGCTGTCCCCCGGGCACTCGAACTTTGGATCGGGGTTCTCCCGGCCGACGGGGGACGTTCGAGCGAATCTGCAGCGTCGGTTCACCACCGACTCAAGCAAGTTCTCGTCATGGGGCCATCTAAACCAGGCCCCAGGGGGCGCGGGCTCGGGTCCAGCTTCAACCCAGGACCCATTAGATCTCTTGTCTTCGGTAAGATTCAAATTTCCGTTAGATCCTATGCATCACACATATGGAAACGACATACCTGGATGTGACTTGGGAAGCTCTGCTGGATTCAAAGCAAGTTGTCAACGTTGAGACCTTTGCAGCAGTGAGAGTGTCTGGCGATTCCAAGTGACGTCCAGGTAGGTCATTCTCCAGGGTTGTTCCCAATTTGGGAGTGCTCACTCATTCTCTCGTCTCCTTTGCTTTCAATGCTTCTCATTCATTCTCCTTCACCCTATTCTTCCCATTCATCTCATTCATCAACCCCGCGCATTCTCCATCAATGAGAACACCAACCTCACAGAGGTAATTGATTCCTATTGAGGTCTCAACACATTCTGGTCTATTGGATACCACTCGATTCATAGTCTACTTCGGTTCCCATTTCAGCATAGCCAAATCGGCTGGTCTGGAGCCTATAAGACGAAGATGGATCGCCTTCTCCATTTTGATCCCTTTGCCCATTCCCTACTTCCAGATTGGCACCCTGAAATTCGAGTTAGTCTTGACAGCTTGTATCACTGAAGCCCATCTGCCCTTACTTTCCCGTCACAATATCCCCCTTCTTTCTTCCATACCGCGTGCGCTTGGTCAGATCACTTCAACCCCCAGTCTCCCCTGGCACTTCTCTGGAACCAGCCACTGTGTCTTCCCCAATTTGTTTCGTTGGACTGGCTTCACTTTGTACACAGAACGCGTCGTGGTTCGGATCTTATTGTCCCGCCCGCTGCAACATGTACCTCCGCATAATTTCTCTGCACCAAACCATGCCCCTGAACTGCCCGTGTCTTTAACCAGATCTCCTCAGGAGTGAGAGCTAACTTCTTCAGCAGTTTGAGAAGAAAAGGCAACACATTGAATACATGCGCGAACAGAAACGTCGCTTCGAAGAGGACATGAAGATACTTGATCTGCAACACGCACAGGAGAAGCTTGAAATGGATCAACTCTCTCGTGAGCTGGCACAGGCTGGCCTTTCTGGTCCTGTCAGTGAGCCCACCACTCCTCCAGAGTATCGTGAGAGCACTGTCACCGGTGCTTTTGGTCGCCCCAGTCGGTTCTCTACTTCTAGTGTGACCTCGTCGCCAGGGTTCTTCAATGCCTTTGCCCCTTCCACCTTGACCTCCCCCCAGGCCCCCAGCCAGGCAAACCAGCCAGCAGTCGATCGCTTTGCTGGTCACTCGGTCCCAGGATCTCGCCGCAACTCTGAGAAAGATGATTTCCTTGCTGATCCTACTTCCCCTTTCCGACCCGCCCCAAGGTGAGCTGACCCATCTATTCCTATGCTGTGTATTGGCAAGATCAACTGACCGGTCGTCTTTGTGGTCACAGTGGTCACCGGTATTCGATGCCTTCTGGGCACACCAACGGTCATGGTCGTAACAGCATTTCTGGACTGTCAAGTGTGAACCCCGCGCTTGATAAGTGGTCTGGCACACAATACCTATTCCCCAGCGCTGATGACAAGTCGCTTGGCCATCTCCGTGATTTGGAGCGGCTCTCTACCCCTGACATCAAAAGCTATATCAGATTGACAGAGCCCGATGACAAGTTTCCTACTCTGTCGCGCCGGGGTGATACCAACGTCCTTTCCGCGAACCCGGATGCACACGACCTTGCAAACCCTCGTGCCAATGGGACTGAGTCCTACTCTCACCACAGTCGGAACCGTTCATCCCATCAGAGCCTGCCCCACAACATCATCAACTATGGACAGCTTTCAAACTCCAATGAGGACCACGGACACTACGTTCACGCACGCCATGGGGCCCGCCACTCGTTGAGCAGTAACATTTCCTTCCGTGATGATCGTCACGACGAAGTGGCGACTCCTGTCCCTTCCAGTCGCCCTACTGCTGTGCAGTCTTCGTACTCTACGAACGATCTTCCAACCGTGAAGGGCAATGGAAACACAAATGGAAATGGGCTAGCCGTCACCCCGCCAAATACCAACCAAGAGCAGCTGCATAAGCACAATACAAGCTTGGGGCGGATTCCTCAGGGCGTCGCACATAACCGTCAGGCCAAGCATGAGGCTGATGAATCTGAGGTCAATGGCAATCATCAGTCCCAAACCTCTCTGCAGGGAAACGCTGCACCATTTGGACCACAGCTCACCCCAGCTGCATCCGGCAACCACGGTCCCGGCGCCATCGCTCAAATGAGTTTACCATTCCAGGTTCCAGCGGCCCCAGCTTTTGGTTATCCGATGCAGCCATATGCCAACCAGGTCGCTCCCATCAACGGACATATGCAGACCTTCGGGGGTGCTGCCGCCTACAACGGGTTCCCTGGCTACGGCCCTGGTTTCCGCTTTTCTGAACCCACCCCTCGGGGCGGCATGGCCTCACGTCGCCAGGATGGCGATAACAGCCCCCTGACTCGCTTTGGTAACTATCCTCTTGAGAACTACAAGGGTGAGCTTTACAGTCTATGCAAGGACCAACACGGCTGTCGATACCTGCAGCGCAAGTTGGAAGAGCGCAACCAAGAGCATGTGCAGTTGATTTTCGATGAGACATACATGCATGTGATTGAGTTGATGACTGGTAAGTGATATCTATATATTTTTGTCTGCCTTGGTTTGGCTGCTAATGCGTTTTTCTGAGTAGATCCTTTCGGCAACTACCTGTGCCAAAAGCTACTGGAATTTTCCAATGATGAACAGCGCACCGCTTTGATTGACAATGCCTCCGCTCAGCTGGTCAAGATCGCTCTGAACCAGCATGGCACCCGTGCCCTGCAGAAGATGATCGAGTTCATTTCGACTGATCAGCAGACTCAGACTGTGATCAAGTCTCTCCAGAACCATGTTGTTGAGCTTGTTCAGGACTTGAATGGAAACCACGTCATTCAAAAGTGTCTCAACCGCCTGTCCCCCCAGGATGCCGAGTTCATTTATGAAGCCGTTGGCAGCAACTGTGTGGTCGTCGGTACCCACCGTCATGGATGTTGTGTCCTTCAGCGTTGCATTGACCATGCTTCTGGTAACCAGAAGGCCCGTCTCATTGCCCAGATTACTTCTCACTCTTTCGCTCTGGTTCAAGATCCCTTCGGAAACTATGTTGTTCAATACATTTTGGACCTGAACGAGCCAAGCTTCACCAACCCGCTGTGTGCTACCTTTGGAGGCAACATTCCTCAACTGTCTAAGCAGAAATTCAGCTCCAATGTCATTGAAAAGTGCCTCCGCACTGCCGATCACTACATGAAACGCCAGATGATCGACGAGTTCCTTCAAGGAAATGAACTTGAGAAGATGTTGCGTGATTCCTTTGCCAACTATGTTGTGCAGACCGCTATGGACTTCTGTGACGCTGAAACCCGCAACGCCATTGTTGAGGCTGTCCGTCCTATTCTCCCCTCGATCCGTCAGACTCCCCACGGACGCCGTATTGCTGGAAAGATCATGGCCGCAGATACCAATGGACGCAGCAACAGCAGCAGCACTGTGACCAGTGGCCAGGCGACTCCCAACGAGCCTAGCAGCGCCTCTCAGATTCCCAAGGCCATGCTGCAGAAACCTTTCATTTACCAGTCTGGTCAATCTTCCGGTGTTCAGTCCCCAGCTCCCCAAAGCTACAGCAGCCAGTCTTATGTGCCTCATTCTGCACAGAGCTCTGTCTCCAACACTCCCTCTGGACAGAGTGACAGCTCGTCAATTTTCCCCGCCCCGGCTCAGCAAACCGTCACCATCGGAGGGCAGAGTCAACCACACTACACCTACTTCTGATTTGGGTCTGAGCCACCCACATCAGCGGTCGTTTCATCGCGACCAGTGTACCCATAGTCAACGATTTTGACGACACTTTTTCTTTTTTTTTGCCCTAACGATTTAACGTTTCTTTTCACACAGCTCTTGAAACAGGTTTGACTGCACATGATCATTCCGTGATTTACCACTTGCGTTTTTCTGCATACCACTTATGAAGCAATGTGCCATGATCATAGCCTTTGCACTCTGCCAATTTTGCATTATGCATATCTTCCATGAAGCGAGCAATGCATGATGCAGATTTCCTCTGAACTCTGTTCCACCAGTTTTCCCCATGTACTCCATGCCACCCCCCATTTTTTACTTCCTCCGATTTGAGCTCTCCGCTTTCTGATTGCTTGTTGACGGCTCTGGACGGGTTTTCTGTCCGCAGTCATCGGTATGAGGATTGGTGCCTTTATTTTTTTTCCTTTTTTTGAGATTGTCTTTTATCCTTATTTTTTTTTTTTTTTCTCTCATCTTTCATTTTCATCCCACTTTGTGCTTCACCATTATTATTACCAGCCAATGTACTTTGCGTTTTGCTTTATCGAATGGCTTTTTGTGTTCTGCACGCTCCATTCGCACTGGCTTACTGTCGCAGAGAGTTGGTCAGGTATTGCCGAGGCATGGACTCTGAGGACTAGCACAGCTTTTATTCTTAGCTTGGTCTTTGGCCTGCATGGTCGCCTACTGCCATCTTCCGTGGTGGTCAGGCGACTGTTTCTGGTCCAACTTCCCTGCAGACACTTTTTGCTTGTATTTTAGCAATGGAAGACGAATTCGGTTTCCAAATTTCCTTTTCTTTTCCCCCTACATTGTAGTGAATTAAATACAAAGTACAAACAGTAGGGTTGAAGGCCTCGGAGGCACATCCATATCAGCCTTTAAGCCGCGACGCGTGATCACGTGCCTCGGCGTAAGGAGCCCTGGAGCCGCCCTTCAACGCTTGTTGTCGCAGCATCTTGACATTACCAGCGTGGTCCCCAAAGTCCGGCAAAAAAAGGGACCCATGCTACCTGCTCAGGTTGCAAGCGCACTGAGCGCTCAATGGCCCTGTCGTGAGGCCCAGAGCCGGCAGCTAGCCAGCCTTCTCAGTGTTAGTCGGAGAATCATCATGGTGCAATCACCATATAAAGAAACTGACCCAACCTCTGAACAGCATTACACCCCGAGCCAACCTGCATTGGTCGTAAGCGGTATTTCGGCGACCTGCAAATCCACCATTCTCCGTGCTGTCCTATCCGCCACCAAGGTACCGCATACATTTGTCCGCAGCTCCGAATGCATTACAGGTCGACATCTCCTGACCAAGATCCTATGGAACACCCTTGAAGCGATCGGTCAGAAAGAAGAATGGGAGAAGGCTGGTAAAGGACGATGCGAGCATATCAGTGGCCTGTCCGTTCTCCTGGAAGAGGCCCTGCAAGCGCAATCCAATAGAAAGGGCCACAAATTCGTTCTGGTCCTGGACGAAATCGATAGACAGAGGGAGGCGTCACCTACACTCTTGTCGGCGCTGGCACGACTAGGCGAAATCGTAAGTTTGTGTCAATGGCGAAAGGCTCGCTCAAATCGAAACTGACAGTGGGTTTATAGATTCCATCTCTCACTGTGGTGATGGTACTGAGTTCAACGCCTCGGCCTCTGTTCCTCCAAAGTGCGGGAGTTCCACACATCAATTTCCCCCCTTACACGCGACGAGAAGCCATCGAGATCATTCTCAGTTCGAATCCCCCAACCATCGATGGATTGGCCGATGAAACCGTGGCGCAGATTTACCCATACTTTGTCTCTACTGTTTTTGACTCGTTAGTTGGACCAACTGCGGGATCTATCCCGAATTTCCGCTCCATTGTCGAGAGACTATGGCCTCAGTTCATTGCACCAGTCCTCAATGAGGAGCCCGCGCCAGGTGAGACAGGCGAATGGGACTTTTCCCGCCTGCTCGTCAAAAACAGGTCGATTTTCAGACATCAGGGCGAGTCTGCGCTTGTCCACCGTATCGTCCCAGATGAAGCGACGTCTAGCATCACCAGGGCCCCATTGGCAAAGACGGCCTTGCCCTCGGCACTTCCTTCCCTGCCATACTTCTCAACTTTGATTCTCACATCCGCATACCTGGCTTCACACACCCCGCAGCGGCTGGATACGATTTTCTTCTCAAAGTTTTCGTCATCTTCTCTTTCAGCGCGTAACAAGCGAGCACATCACCGCCGTCGTTTGAAGGTTCTCTCCCAGGCACAGGCCGAAGAGAGACAAGCAGCAAATGATGACCCATCAACCCGGCGGAGAGGCAAAGGCAAGCGAACCAAGACCCGTATTACAAAGTCCACCCTTTCCTCTGCTTTTGCTACATCCTCTGCTACTACATCGGCTGTCGGAGGTGGCGGAGGCATAACGGGTCCTTCAACCATTCTAACAGCCCGCTCATTCCCACTCGAGCGTCTTCTGGCGATCTACCATGCCATTGACCCTAATCCACCTGCGACTGCAGTCCGTGTTGCCGCCGTTGCGGATCGAATCTATGCTGAATTGGCGACCCTGCGTCGCCTGCGTCTTGTTGTTCCGGCTGCAAGTCATAATGGAATGGCCAGTAGCAGTGGAAACACCAGTGCCGATGCAGGAGACAAGTGGTGCGTCAATGTTTCAGGCGATTGGGTTGGAGAATTAGCCAAGGGCATTGGAGTCGAAGTTGGTGAATGGTTGGCTGGTGGCTTGGATTAGTTACTGGGAATTTGCATTTGTACAAGGGAGTAGTCTGGTTTTGCATGAGATTCTGATATCGAGGTCAAATATACCCAGGTTTATCATTTCACTTATGGTCTACGATCTACAATCTACGTATCAGAATGGGATTTCACTTTTCCATTCGTAGTGTTGACTCTCCTGTCTGGCATGCCATACAAACTCGGAGGACCTAATCATACAAACTCGAGGGACCTAATCATACAAACTCGATGGACCTAATCATACAAATTGTGCGGAGACCTCAAGAAAATTCCTTCACGACGCCGTCCAGAGTGCCGACGAGCAGGATGTTGTTTCCATTGCGCTCGTCAAACTTGACGGTCAGTGCTCGGTCTTCCTGCGTGATGGAGGAGGGGACGGAGGACCCCTTCCTCAAAGATAACAATTGCGGTTTGGCTTGATCGTCAACTATTTAATTCGAAGTTAGTACGGAGTCAAACGTGATCTTGGAGGTCAACGCACCAGCAGCCAGCAGCCCGAGCTCAGGGCACACATCCATCTTTGGCTTTGGAGACGAGAATTTGAATGGGGTCTCCCAGTATGGAACAGTTTGTGGGCCCTTCTTCTTGCTGTAACGTAGGTCATACAAACAAATGGTCGTCTTGGTAGCGAATGTCAATTGAGAGGTCTTTGTTGGAAAGGGGGTAATACACTCACATCCTCAGGCATGGGGGATCTTCCACGACCAGCTTGACCAGTCACAAGGACCTGGTGATCATCCACCGCTTTGATGTAGCTAATTGGCGTATCATGGTCGAAGACGATAGAATCGTTGCCCGACGATCGCTTGTCAGTCAAGATGACATTTTTTCCTGCTCCGCCTGTAGCAATGAGATCAGGAGTGACGAAGTCAACAGCGTGCACATCGTAATCAGCCCGGGTCCGGAAGATGCTAGGCTTGGGCCGTTTATTCCAAAGATGATAGAGATCAACGCCGTGGGGTACCAAAGAAAGGTACATCAGACCCTCTGTGGAGGCAATGGCGAAGTCGGGGGTTGTGCCGGTACGCTCAGAGGCAGCAGCGCGACACAGTGTTCTTTCCGTACCTACGGTTGACCTTTCTGAGACTTTGAGATATTAGCCAGAGAACCGAGAAGTGAGTCGGGGGGGGGGGGGGGGGGTTCATACGTGATAGTACGACGTTGTCTGGGGGGGGGGGGGGCGGGGCCATTTTCTCTTTCTCGGGCCCTCCCGGGTACGCAAGGCTGGTTTGTTAGTATATTATTGTCATTTTTGAGGGTC